CTAAATTTTTCAATTCCCAAATAATTATTCAACTTAGAATGAAACTAGCAATAGGTAGAAGATTTTGTTTCTACTTGCAGCAGAAGAAAGTGGTATTAAAAGCAAGACTATTGTTTCACAATGATGACCAGGAAGGTGAAAAGCAGCGAATGAGATCACCTGAGGGCAGTTTGAAAAATCTGGGATGTTTCATCTGGGGCTCTAATCATATAGGGAAGCCCACCACAGGCTATTAGAATGTAAAGCTCAGCCTTGCCTTCCATTAGCTCTGTGGATTTTGAGCAAATTATGTGACCTCCTTGAGCCTGCTTCCTCATCTGTACAATGGGATTACAGACCTAGCCTCTAGCACTGTTGTGAGGGCTCAATGAGACTAAGCATGCAAAAGAGATAGCTAACGGCAAGAGTGTAGGCGTAGGCAGGCACATTTATCATAGTGGGCAACGTGATAAAAATACCAGAGACCTCACTGTCGAGTTGGTGCTTTCCCCTCAAGAGTTAAAGATGAACGCATATTTAGAATACTAGCAAAAAAGGAAGTTGGAAAGCATACATGGCCTATTGTAACTAGAAGTATTTTTAAAAACAGGTTAGATGACTATATGCCTAAACACTACACAATCAACAATAAAAATCCTTATTTTATACATAACTCACTTTCTAACATATCATTAAATTCAGATTATCCTTTCATTGGTTTTAAATGAATTATGATGACTTACATTGCTTTAAATAAAAGAAAAAACTGTATCTATTTTTGTAAAACAAATCACTTTTATTCAAGTGAAATCCAAGGGATTTGTAAAAACCAGTGGCTTCTACTCAAAAGGGCCTCACATGGGAAAGTTGAAAAAAAATTAATGGCTAAGAGCATCGCATTACGTAGCTGATTTTATCCATGCTAATGTGGCTATTTTTAAGTGCTCACACACACAAACACCAATCCCTCTCCATGGGTAGTAGCCATTTAAGCTCCTAAGTAAGAAAGCCAGTTCCACTTACTTGACTACCTGGGAGGGCAGGCGGCTGGCTGAGGAAGCCTTTTATGGGCTGATTCATTCAGTCACAAATGCCCTGAGTGAATGCCTCTGTGTGGAGAACTGGACTCTCACTGCCAACATAGCATCAACGTGACTCTCCATTTAAAACAAAAAAAAAGTTTTATAATATACTTCTCCACATTGTGCCTTTTGAAATCTCAGTCATCCCTCAAGTGCATGGTCAAATGCCCCCACTTCCACTCTTGCATAAAACCATTCCTAGTCCTTTATCCCCTCAAATCTCAACCCCAGTCAGAATTAACCAGTCCCTCTTTGGTGCTCCTAATGCCCTTTGATCAGACTCCACTGTTTATACCTACGATATTTACATTGCCAAAATAATTATGAACTCTATCCACCTAAAAACACCCAATAACATGAAATGAAATAAATGTTAGGCCTTGACAACATATTGATGATAACCAGATATGAGCTGGGTGGATCACCTGAGGTCAGGAGTTCAAGACCAGCCTGGCCAACATGGCAAAACCTTGTCTCTACTAAAAACACACACAAAAAAATAGCTGGGTGTGGTGGTGTGCACCTGTAATCCCAGCTACTTGGGAGGCTGAGGCCAGAGAATCACTTGAACCTGGGAGGCAGAGGTTGCAGTGAGCCAAGATCACGCCATTGTACTCCAGCCTGGGCGACAGACCAAGACTATGTCTCAAAAAAAAAGAAGATAACCAGATGAACAAAAAATAGGCCTCACGTAAAAGGAACCCATGACTCAGTGTGGGAGTCAGGCAGACAATATATTAATCTCATGCAATATGATAGTGACAAGTACAAAGTAGGCTAAGAGTAGGGAAAGGGGAGAAAGAGAGAGAGAGGGATTGAGAGAGAGAGAGGAGGGATGCCTTGAGGGCATGCTGTAGAATGATCAAATATGTACCAGGGAGAGGGAAAATCAGGTTCGGGCAAGAAGGTATGAAACATGGGTATAAAGTTTCAGTTATGTAGGATGAAGAAGTTCTAGAGATCTGCTGGATGGCATGATGCTTATAGTTAACGATACTGTACTGAACACTGAAAATCTGTTAAGAGGGCATATCTCATGCTAAATTGTGTTTTTTACCACAATTTCATTTTTATTATTTATGTTTTTTGAGATGGAGTCTCACTCTTTTTGCCCAGGCTGGAGTATAGTGGCACAATCTCAATTACCACAATCTCTGCTTCCCCAGTTCAAGAGATTCTCCTGCCTCAGCCTCCTGAGTAGTTGGGACTAGAGGCACCCGCCACCATGCCCGGCTAATTTTTGTATTTTTAGTAGAGACGGGGTTTCACCATGTTGGCCAGGCTGGTCTCGAACTCCTGACCTCAATTGATCCTCCAGCCTCTGCCTGCCAAAGTGCTGAGATTACAGGCGTGAACCACCACGGAACGGCCATGTTTTTTACCACAATTTTTTTTTTAAAAAAGCATGAAACAGCATAGCCTATCTGGGAACCTGCAAAGAGACCACTGTCGCTGGAGTTGATGGGGGAAAACAGAGAGAGGGAGGAGAAGCTGGAGAACAGGATAAGAAGCCAGATCAGAATGGCCTTTGCGAACAATGTTTGGGCTTTTAATTTTCTAGGCAATGAGGAACCACAGAGAAGCAGGATCACAGCTGCATTATGGAGCAGCACCTCAAGTGGCAGCGTGGGAGAGAGATGGGGTAATGGGTAAGCATGGAGGCTGGTAAAGTCCGATGCAATCTAGGTAAGACCAAAAGGCTGGGGCTAGGGAAATGGTACTAGGGCAGGACTGCCTTCTAAAATACTTACTGCTATCTGGAGTTACTTAGTTAGTTAACTTCCTCAAAATACAAGAGTCAAGACAGTGACTCTGTTTTGCTCACAGGTATATTCCCAGTTCTAGAACAGAGTCTTCTATACAGCAGATGCTCAGCAATTACCTGCTAAATCAACGAACAAATCCGTTGAGGGCAGGAACCCTGGCTAACTCATATATATATATATATTCCTCAACACTTTCAGTAGAATGTTATATATGAAGAATGCTCAGATTTTTTTTTTTTTGGGACATGCCCTGGATTTTTCCAAATAATGACATCGAATTTTCTTGGTGAAAAGTCCAAAGACTGAATGTTTCCAACCATCAGCTTTGCACAACCCACCTGGGCATCCAGCAATCCAGCTGGGCACTTTCTGTTTTGTAAATCATTGCTGGCAACAAAGCCTGGCAATTATAGAGCTCAGCTGCTGGTTGTGCTAACAATGGTCCCGACAGCCAGCGACACCGTGGCCCTCCCGTGTTTGTGCGACAGCATCAATGTGCATCAGGAGGGAAGCAGCCACTGCCAGAGGCAAGTTAGCAGGCTAATGCCTCCTCACACTGCCTCACAACCCATAACTAGTACCTTTGGGGAAAATTTTCCCCACAGAGGAAGGACAAACGGGTTTAATTTCTCTGTTACATGAAGAACCAGTAAAAGGACAGTTTTATAGCTCTTCTGAGTGGAACAGACCGGGCTCAAACCATGCGCTTGACTGACTCATTGCCATGGTTTACACAGGTCCTTCAACTGCCAGCTTTAAGTCAGATGCTTGCTCACAGGGACTCGTCCAACAGTAGGTTGGCTTTAGAAAAGCATTCTGTACCTCTGAGAAACAGGACCTCGATGAAGTCTTCACTGATATCAATCAATAATCCTTTCTAGGGGATTCACTGTATTCACTACACAAGGGCATAAGCACAGGCAGGAAACCAAGACTCAGGCCTGGGTACAAATCCTGACCTCCATCTGCCAGCTGTATGACTTCAAGTAAATGATTTAACCGTTCTCAGTGTTCTCATTTGTAAAGTGAGAATAATACCTCCATCTTACAGGGTTCCAAAGGGATTCAATGAGTGAACAGGGTCTCACTCTGTTGCCCAGGCTGGAGTGCAGTGGCACGATCACGATCATTGCTCACTATAGCCTCAAACTCCTGGGCTAAGTGATCCTCCTGTCTCAGCCTCCCAAGTAGCTAGGACTACAGGTATGCATGACCATACCTAGCCATTTTTTAAATTTTTGTAGAGACGGGGTCTCACTATATTGCCCAAGCTGGTCTTTAATTCCTGGGCTCAAGTGATCCTCCTGCCTTCACCTCCCAAAGTGTTGGGATTACAATCATGAACCACCACACCCAGCCCCAACATTTAGTGAATATTCATCCCTTCTGTTACCCTGAGTGGGATTGGAAGGTTGGTGAAAAGCTGCCTTATATGGAGCAGGCCTCATGGGGGTACTACACACAGAGAGAAGAAAGAAGCTCATGGGAGGGAAAGTATGGAAACTGATAGTTGGCAGCTTCTGCCTCTTCTATTCTTGAGAAAGTTACACAATGTGAGTGACAGAGGCTGTCCCAAGTACATAAAGGAAACTAATCTGTTTGCAAAGGGAGGAAATAGCATAGGATGAAGATTGTAAGTTGTTTGAAGCTTCTTTCCTAATTACCACTCATAATGAAAATTTAATTGCCAAGTTAAAAGCAAATTTCACTTTTTCTGTCATAGAATCTCTGCAGAAACTGGCACATTTTGTTTGAACAGGAAATCAAAGTTATTTTAATGCTTAAATGAGATCTAAGGAGCTGCAGATGTTTCACTGGGAATGAAAAACTTCAAAACTTTGCTTTACTGGGTTGTAGCAATTCATGGCTACAGGGAGAAAGAAAAGCTGTTTTAAGCTGAGTAAACCAAAGCAGTGGAAGGAATTCAAATCCAAGTACCCCACTGTACTTAGGCACACTGGGGATGAGGTATAGGGTGAGCGTGGTACAGAGAGAAAATTTCTGGCATAGAAACACAATTGAGTAAGAGAGAGAAAACCAGGAAATATCCCAAGACTAGGAAACTGAAATATAAACATTTTTGGGTCATGGAAGAATAGCAAGAAACAAAACACATACTGTTGCCTCAATTCTGACCCACATCTGCATCAGCTCAGTCAGAAAGACTGCTCACCTGTAAGGTGCTGGTGAGGAAGTTGTCTTGGGAGACAATGTCTACAAAGAAGTCAGCGGGGATCTCACCAAGCTGGTGGTACAGGATGGAGATGAGGTTGATGTAGAGAGTGTGGTGCTTCACCATGGCTGCTTCTGACCGGCACAGGAGGTTCAGGAGCCGCTTCCAATGCTCAAATGCCTCGTACACATTCCCCAGCAGGAAGCACACAAAAGCAAACTGGAGTTCACCTGAAAGGTGCAGAGAGGAGAAGTGATTCTGAGGGAGAGGAGAACCAGCTGACACTCTCCATCACTGTTCACAAGGCCATCAATTCCACTGGACCTCAGCAACAGATTACCTTTTATCCTTGGCACTCCTGCAGAGCCTGGCATGGGATTTTGCACCTAACAGGTACTCAACAAATGTTTGCTGAACCGCTATGAATTCAAGCCATGGGAAACCAACCTGTGGCTTTGGATTTCTGTAAAGTCAGACTGCAAGAGAAGAAGTATTCCCAGTATTTGCCTGGCATTTTAAGTTTACAAAATGTGTTCACGGATATTATGCCAAGTGGCTCTCAAACCTGGCTGCCCATCAGAATCACTGAGAGTCTGTTAAAAGTAAAGCTACCCAAGCTTCCCCCTCAGAGGTTCTGGTTGAGGAGAGATGATGGGGCCTTCATATCTGTAGCTCTGACAAGCTCCCCAGGTGATTCTGATGCGGATGGTCTGCTCCAGGGTCACAGAAATACTGCACTACACCATGTAACCCTCAGCCCAACTCCACAGGCAATCAGGAAGGTGGTATTTGCCTCATTTTACAGATGAGGTCAAGGGCTTGCCCAAGGCCGCACTTCAATGCTTCACAATGTGGGCAATGGAAAGATAAAACAGATTCTCTATTGGGTGGGAACAGTTCTAGGACCTCCCACCAAAGAAAAATTCCTGAGTACTTATTCCAGGGTCAGCATGCCAGCCAGATTATTTTTTGTTTGCTTAATCACAGGGCTCTGTGATTTAATCTCTATGAGCAGCTTGGTGGCTAAGAGCATGGGCTCTGGAGCCAAACTGCCTAGATTCAAATCTTAGCTCTGCCACTTAGCAGCTGTGTGACCTTGGGCAAGTTACTCAATCTATTAAGACCTGGATTTCCTTATTTGAGGGTTGCAGCAAAGATTAAATGAGTGGATACAGTACACGTAAAGCATTTAGAATAACACCTGGCACAAAGTAGCACTCAAAAAATATTATGTTCCCAATTTCTATCAGATGCCCATCTCAAACAAAGAGACCTGATGATCCAGACACCACTGTCCCTGGGCAAGTAACGGGGTCTCTGGTTACTGCAGAATTACTGCCACTCATCACAGGCATTCTCTCTACTTCAAAGGTGGCTGGAAATTTAATGAGGTATATGTCCATGTGGGCCATAAAAAGAAGAGATGCACTCAACACCAAATACCTCTTTAAATGCATAGTGTTTGATCTCTGCCACTTCCAGAGACCTGGAAAAACTAGCTCCCTGTCCTAAGCATATGGAACTAAGTTTGATTTATGTGAATAGCTACCTGGTTGAGATATTTTGGATCTCTGACCAGTATTTTCAAATACAGTCAAATTTTATTTGTGTAATATATGTTAATGATTTGCTTCTTCAGCTGGCTTTACTTGGTTTGTGAAACTAAATATTAGCCTATTCTTTGCATTTAGGACATTTATTTAAATTTGTGCATTTCTGACCTTGTCTAAAATTTAATTATGACATCAAAAATAATTTCAAAGAGCTGTGATGTAGATTCAAAATTATCCCTGGACAGGTGTGGTGGCAGGGATAGTCCTAGCCCTTTGAGAGGTCAATGGAGGAGGATTGCTTGAGTTCAGGAGTCTGAGACAAGCTTGGGCAACACAGGGAGACCCTATCTCGACCAAAAATAATTAGCTGGGCGTGGTGGCACACACCTGTGGTCCCAGCTACTTAGGAGGCTGAGGTGGGAGATCACTTGAGCCCAGGAGGTTGAAGCTGCAGTGAGCTGTGATCATGCCACTGCACTCCAACCCATGTCACTAAGTGAGGCCCTGTCTCAAAAAAAAAACCCAACGAAGTCATTCCTGTAACAGACCTTTTCACAAGATATATTTTGAAGAAATGAAATGTTTAAGAGGTAGAAAGACAGGATTTCTATTCATTTTTAAGCCAGACTTTCAAAAGTTACTTATTACATGAAAATACTAATGCATTAAGATATACCTGTTAAAATATACGTTATATCATCAGCTGACCCAATGATATAAAAAGTCCTGTCTAGGCACAGTAATCCCAGCACTTTGGGAAGCCAAGGCAGGAGGATCGCTTGGGCCCAAGAGGTTGAGGTGGCAGTAAGACATGATTGTGTGACTGTACTCCAGCCTGGGCGACAGAGCGAAACCCTGTCTCAAAAAAAAAAAACAAAGTTCTTTTTTTTTTTTTTTTTTTTTGAGACAGGGTTTCGCTCTGTCGCCCAGGCTGGAGTGCAGTGGCCGGATCTCAGCTCACTGCAAGCTCCGCCTCCCGGGTTTACGCCATTCTCCTGCCTCAGCCTCCCGAGTAGCTGGGACTACAGGCGCCCGCCACCTCGCCCGGCTAGTTTTTTGTATTTTTTAGTAGAGATGGGGTTTCACCGTGTTAGCCAGGATGGTCTTGATCTCCTGACCTCACGATCCGCCCGTCTCGGCCTCCCAAAGTGCTGGGATTACAGGCTTGAGCCACCACGCCCGGCCAAAAAAACAAAGTTCTACATTCAAATTTCTCGCTCAACTTCCAACAAGAAAATATGCAAATTACCTGGAAAATTTGTAAATATATAATAGTTGTTCAAAATGTGACACATATTTGCTGTCACTAGTATTTAAAAAATATAAATAAGGTGCCATTTTTCAACTATCCGATTGGAAGAGGCCTTTGTTAAACTGCCATGCCCAATGCTGTCAAAGGTGATGGGCAATAGCTTCCTACCAGCCAGCAAGGACGCAAAACCTTCTCCTGGCAACATGCACAGTCTGACCCAGCAATTCTATCTCTAAATGTACGCATAAGTACACACGAGAATGTTCACTAGATGATATATGTATATATATTTTTGAGACACCTCTTGTTACCCAGGCTGGAGTGCAATGGCGAGGTCTTGGCTCACTGCAACCTCCACCTCCTGGGTTCAAGTGAGTCTCCTGCCTCAGCCTCCAGAGTAGCTGGGACTACAGGTGCACACCACCCAGTTAATTGTGTATTTTTAGTAGGGGTTTCACCATGTTGGCCAGGCTGGTCTTGAACTCCTAACCTCAGGTGATGCCCCTCGGCCTCAGACTCCCAAAGTGCTGGGATTACAGGTGTGAGTCACCACACCCGGCCACTTGATGATATTTATAATAGGGAAAATAGGGAACATCTCAATGGTCCATAACAGAGAACTGGTCCAGTAACTATGGAACATGAAACAGCCACTAAAAAAGTGACTGTTAGTGACATGAAAAAACGTTTATATTAAGGTAGATTACAAAGTAATAATATACTTCAATCCTGTTTTTATAAAAACTCATATATACATAGATGCATATACTGAATTTTAGTTTTTTTTTTTGAGACGGAGTCTCGCTCTGTCGCCCAGACTGGAGTGCAGTGGCATGATCTCAGGTCACTGCAAGCTCCGCCTCCCGGGTTCACGCCATTCTCCTGCCTCAGCCTCCCGAGTATCTGGGACTACAGGCGCCCGCCACCTCGCCCAGCTAGTTTTTTGTATTTTTTTTAGTAGAGACGGGGTTCACGGTGTTAGCCAGGATGGTCTTGATCTCCTGACCTCGTGATCCGCCTGTCTCGGCCTCCCAAAGTGCTGGGATTACAGGCTTGAGCCACCGCGCCCGGCCCATATACTGAATTTTTAAAAGACTGAGAAGAGGTACATAGAAATAAACAGAGAAGACACTGAAATGAAATACACAGAAAAAAAGGAATATAAATATACCAAAATGTACAAATGGTTATTTCTAAGTAGTGAAGATTTGAAGTAAATTTTGTTTTTCTTCTATGATTAATATCTATCATTTTTGTAATAAAAGGGGAGGCAACAATAAAAACTGTAATGATTAAAAAAAAAAATCACTGTCCTGTTCTAAGCCAGTTGAGAGACCAACATCTTGAGGGTCAGGAGCAAACTGAGGAGGCAGGTGAGAGGCTACAGTGAGCAAAAGTCTGGCCCAGAAACCAAGAGTCCTGGGTTCTGGTCTCAGTTCAGCCACTCAGTGGGCCAAAGCTTTTCCTTCTGTAGGACTGGGCTCTATCAGTGGTTCCCAAACAGAAGATTATCTGTACTAGGTTCACCTAGGATGCTTGTTTATTAGACAGAAAGACAGACAGACAGAAACTGCGGGAGCCCCGCTCCAGATCTCTGGAATCACAATCTCCAGGGTTAAGGGTAAAGATACACCTGTATCTTCAGCCTCCTAGCCAGGTTTAGTTTCTGCTGGACTAACACAAGATGTACTCCCTATTCTAAAACACCTCTGCTAATATCCTCCCCTTGGCCCACTCCCAAAGAGCCTTGTTCCTTCTCACCAAGCACATCCTGGGGGCTGCTGGGGAACTGCTTGTTGAGCACAGTCTCCAGGGCATAGCTCAGGTCCATGCTGTGCTTGGTTATCTCTGCTGGCGTGGCACCCGCTGGGAACATCTGCGTGGGTAGCTCTGAGAAGCGGATCTCTGTCCCAGCTCTGGGCTTCATCTCTGGTAGCCGGGCCAGTCCCTCTTGGTAGCTCTTGCACTCAGTGCCACAGCGGGGTAGATTCTGCCCCACGCGGTCCTTGGTGTGCTTCATGGAGAGCACAGGTAGCACATCGGAGAAGGCACAGATCTGCCGGTTCTCAGGCTGCAGCTTCTCCACTGTGGCTTCGCTGATGAAGTTGGTGAGTGAGATCCACTTCTTCAGGGTGGCATATGGGTAAGGCCCCAGGAACTGGTCCAGCTCCTGGAGGTTGGCCCTCATGGCTTCCACCTCAGACTCTGGGGCTGGGGACAGGTCTACCTCTTCCCTGAGTGTGCTCCAGCGCAGCACTGTCAGCCCCCGCTGGTGCAGACTAAGGAAGAAACCCATACGAGGGCCTACTTCCTTCGGATTAGCCTTGTCCACAGAGCTGTAGTAGAGGAAGTGAATGCCTGGAGGGATCATCTTCACGCCCCGGAACTTGGGCCCCACCTCCCAGGAGTTACAGTCAATCCCAAACTCTGTTCCCTTGGGCATGTTCAGGATGACAACAGTGGCCCCTTCAAAGAAGAGGCGCTTGGCTAGCTCAGGATCCATCTGCAAGGCAGCCATGGGGCCAGTGGTAGGTGACCAAAAAAACCCTTTTTCTTTGTCTTCCAGAACAGCTAAGAAAGAAAGAAATCAGAGTTAATCAGAATGTGGGGAAAGATGCTTCATTTGCTAAGCATTCTGTATGTGCCAGATATTGAATTAGACTCCTGACATAATTATTTCCCTTAATCCTCATGACAACCCTGCATTGAGTTTACAGATGAGAAAAATGAGGATTAAAAAGAAAGGATTTTTGTGTTTTGGTTTAACATGCAAGGACGCTCCCTTCACAGCTACAAGATACCAGTGAAAGAAAAGTGACATGCTCATGGTCACACCAGGACCCAAATTAGAATCTGGGTACCCTGCCTGCAGGCCAGTGTTCTGTCCACCATCCACTCTTAATATCGTCTCAGATCTCTTTCTCACAAGAGAGGGTGAGGGTGGAAAATGCTTGGACGGCTCACTCTAAACTATAACTATGCCTAAATCACTTAAAACTATAATTCTGCCTAAAAACTATCCCAAAAGATTTGGAAAGATTAAATCAAGTACATATCCAGTTTCCCATAAGCCTCAGGGAAGGCCCAGAAACGGACAGACGGTAGAAAGTGGAGGCTCAGCATCTAAAATTTGTTCGAGGTCTAGAGAGCTTTTCAACCACAAATCTCCCCTCTTCTTTCACTCATAAAAAACCTAAACTCCAGAGAGTGAAACAACTTCCCAAAGAGCCCACAATCAGTGGTGGCTCTGGACCATTCATCCAGAATGAATTCAGGTGGTAAAGCTGGCCTAGGAAGAGAAAGCAGGCCAGAAGAGAAAGAGCTTAGTACACTTATTTTACCTACTTCTAAATATCCCAGACATTGCCTCTGGGATATCGGCAAGAATGGTACCAACACAAACAAATGTAAACAAACCATTATCTAACCTTCTAGTCCAAAGATACCTACCTGATTAATTTAACAAATACTCACTGACTGCCTGCATTGTGCCAGGATCTTTGCCAGGCCCCCAAAGAAACATCACAGATTAAGACAGTCACTGCCCTCTAGGCAATTCCAATCTAGCCAAGACGCCAAAATTTCACACACAGAAAAACCAGCTGCCTGTTTAATTCTGTTTACTTTTTTTTTTTTTTTCTCCGAGACAGGGTCTTGCTTTGTCACCCCGGTTGGAGTGCAGTGGCGTGATCTCGGCTCACCATATCCTCCACCTCCCGGGTTCAAGTGATTCTTGTGCGTCAGCCTCCCAAGTAGCTGAGACTACAGGTATGTGCCACCACGCCTGGCTAAGTTTTGTACTTTTAGTAGAGAGAGGGTTTCACCATGTTGCCCAGGCTTATCGGGAACCCCTGACCTCAAGTGATCCGCCTGCCTCGGCCTCCCAAAGTGCTGAGATTACAGGTGTGAGCCACCATGCCCGGCCCTGTTTACTCTTTTTACTTTAAATAAAACAAAATAAAGCAGTGCAGAAACGAAGACCAATCCTTTTCCAAAAATAAGAGCACATTTTAACATCGTTACCTCAGAACCACCGCAAGTGACTCTTACCCTGAATCCACACTTTGCGTTTCACCAAACTGCAAGTCACAATCCATTTGTGGATTAGGAAATCAATATAAAGGTCTCAACAGCATTATTTTTTAAATGAAAATAACAGAAATTTTGAAATATCACAATACATCAAGTGTAGTAAAGCTAAGTACTGTTTTCTGGAGCTTTGTGTGTACACTTGGTTGTGTCATAAAATGTATTTGTTACTGTAGGTCACAGTCATAAAGGTTTGAAAGACACTGCTCTAAATAATTCATATCAACAGGCAGGGCACGGTGGCTCACGCCTGTAATCCCAGCACGTTGGGAGGCCGAGGTGGACAGACAACGAGGTCAGGAGTTTGAGACCAGCCTGGCCAATATGGTGAAACCCTGTCTCTACTAAAAATACAAAAAAATTAGCTGCACATGGTGGTGCGTGCCTGTAGTCCCAGCTACTTGAGAGGCTGAGACAGAAGAAGCGCTTGAACCTGGGAAACGGAGGTTGCAGTGAGCCAAGATCACACCACTGCACTCCAGCCTGGGGGACACAGCGAGATTCCATCTCAAAATAATAATAATAATAATAATAATAATAATAATTCGTATCATCTTCCTATTTGTAATCCTGAATTCAGAAAGTATTTCATGTTTGCTGAATGAACAGATATTCCATTTATAATAACTGCTCATCAATTAGCCATTTTGCCTTGTGACATCTGTGTGCTCCTCCTTGATAATGACATTTCTTTCATTCTAATTCCACCAGTCTGTAATTCTATTCACTATATCTCCAGCAGCTGGCACAGGGCCTGGCACAGAGGAGATGCTAGGAAAAGGTTTATTAAATATGCACAGAACTCTGTAGTCTACCAACCTCTGTCACTGACAGCTCTGTGAGTTCCTCACAGTCCTGGAACACCTAAAGTCACATCCATCCACTTCTCTCCACCACCTCCCTAATGCAAGCTACCATCGTCTCTCACTCAGAGTGCTTGCTCCTCAATCCATTCTCCACTCAAGAGCAGTAACCTTTTCAAAATACCAATCTAATCACATCACCACCCATGTCAGCTTCTGAGTGGTTTCCCACCTGGTTCCTGAAAAACCAAAATTCTTCCTATTACCTACAAAGCCTGCACGGTCTGACCCCTGGCAACCCCTTTAGCTTGTTTCACATCATGGTCCCCCACAAGCTCTCTGTTCCAGCCACAACGGCCTCTTTCAGACCCTGAAATTGGAGGCTCTCTCTCTTCAGATAGAAAACTCTTCCCTCCCCACTCGGTCAAATCCTTTTTTCTGATCGCAGCTCAATATTCACCTCCTCAGTAAAGGTTCCTTGACCTGGGGCTAGATCAGGTCTCCTGTGATATACCCTGGGGTGCCTTGTACCATTCCGTTTCAATGATCACAACTGCAGTTTTGGATGTTTGATTGAGGGCTGTCACCGCCACAAGACTTGAGTCCTGCCGTATCCCTAGCACAGATTCGACGCTTAGTAAATATTTATTTAATACAAGTATGATATCCATTTTGTAAACGAGAAACAAAAGCTCAATTCGGGGAAAGACCTTACTGGAAGTCACGCAGAGAGTAGGGCAGAGCCAGGTCGAGTGCAATCAGGGTCTCCGGCCCCCAGGCTCTAAAGTTAAGAAAAACGCGAAGTAACTCCGTGTGACCCGGGAAGCCCTGGCGACGGCTTCTCAGGAAGGGCCTCCAGAGACACCAGCGTCCCACAAGCAGAGAACCAGCCGCCCCAGCGAGGTGGGCCTAGTTCAAGGCACTCCGTGACTCTGAGCCGAGAAGAGGGGCGGCCCGGCCACACATACACAGGGAATCAGGAAAGGAAAAAGAGGCCAGGAGGCCACACTCACCGCCTCGCCCCACGTTCTGGTACCGCGGAAACGCACCGGAAGTTCTCCCGCTTTGGCGTCTGACTGGAGCCACGGGGAAAGCGGTCCGGTCGAGCCCTGGGTCGCGGGAAGAATGGCCCGTACCTGCAGGTTCCGCCGGATGCAATGTTGCCTTTTGCTATTCTTAGTTTCTCGTTTTAGCTTCTGAACTGTGAACAACTTTCATTAACCTTTGCATTTTATAAACCCTTCCAGAAACACAGACACCAGCCATCTTACTTTGGGCGCAAGCAGTCATGGTCACTAAAGCATAACCAAGACTTGTACCAATGGCTACTATTCAGTAGTAGCCAGTCAGGCGCTCGGTCACTGTCTTTGTCAGCCAGTCTCTATCCGGGTCACAATGTCTCAGCTTCCAGTCACACTCGGCCCTCGGGGAGAGCCTCAGAAACCCAGCCCAGAGAGAACCAGCGTCAGCCTCCGCTGCTGCAGGAGCAGCAGTCACCACCTCAGTCCCTCTGACCCGGCGTCCTTCCGGCAGGCCAAGTCCTAACATCTTAGTCAGGCTATCAACGCTCGAGGGAAGAAGCTGCCTGTCTTGTTCCTCACTGTTTCCCTGGAACCGAGCACAAAGCCAGGCACAAAAGCTCAGCTGAGTATATATATTATGCATTTAATTAATAATGATGATAATTTGGTATTAATAAATAACTTCTATTTGTGAGTCTAACCCTGCACTATTAATCAGGGTTCCACCAAAGATGCAGAGCCAGTAGGAGATCTATATTAAGTGATTTATTGCAAAGAATTGGCTTATGTGATTTTAGGGCAGGCAACTTGCGTCTTTCTTTCTGTTCTTTTTTTTTTTCTTTGAGACACAGTCTCACTCTGTCACCCAGGCTGGAGTGCAATGGCGCGATCTCGGCTCACTGCAACCTCTGCCTCCTGGGTTCAAGCCATTCTCCTGCCTCAGCCTCCCGATTACAGGCGCCTGCCACTATGCCCAGCTAATTATTTTATTTTTAGTAGAAACAAGGTTTCACCATGTTGGCCAGGCTGGTCTCGAACTCCTGACCTCAGGTGATCCACTGCCTCAGCCTCCCAAAGTGCTGGGATTATAGGGGTGAGCCACCACGCCTGGACTGCCTTCTTTTTTTGTTTTTGTTTTGCGATGAAGTCTTGCTCTTGTTGCCCACACTGCAACTTCTGCCTCCCAGGTTCAAGCGATTCTCCTGCCTCAGCCTCCCTAGTAGCTGGGATTACAGGTGCACACCAGTATGCCCAGCTAATTTTTGTATTTTTAGTAGAGACCAGGTTTCACCTTGTTGGCCAGGCTGGTTTTGAACTCCTGACCTCAGGTGATCCACCCACCTCGGCCTCTCAAAGTACTGGGATTACAGGCGTGAGCCACCGCACCCAGCCCACTTGAGTATTTCTAATCCTTGCACTAACCCTAGTAAGGTATATGTATTCCCAGTTTGCAGAAGAGAAAACTGAGGTTCAAGGAGATGTTACACAGCCAGAGAACGGCAGAGCTAGAATGCAAACCAATGGCTGTTCTTATCTCTTGTGCTGCTGCTCCTTAGCTTGTCTGTCACATTTCCTCAGTGACAGCTGGATACGCCAATCCGTCTCGGTCAAAATTTATCTTTTAGTGGGTTGCAGACTAGACCGGGCCCTGCAGTCATGGTTAATCACCATGAGCTACTGCAGGATTAACCAGAGACAGCCTCCATCAGTCACAGTCATGCTTATCAATCTCAGCCTGTCCTGTCAAGTTTCATTTCCTGCATGAAGAAACTCAGCTCCCTCTCCACCCCTCCCCACTCCCAGTCTTAAGTGCTGAGCTCTGTGGTCTGGTCTCAAAGCTCCCTGTTTCAGTTGGGCTCACCATCTTCTCCGAGACTCCAGGACACTGAACAATGGATGTAGAAGCTGTAGATGGTGGCCTAGGAGTCCCACCTTGTGGGTTTCATGTCCATTCAGATCAGAATTTCTCAACCTTGGCACTATTGACATTTGGGGCCAGATAGGTATTTGTTGTATGTGGCTGTCCTGTGCATTGTAGGATGTTTAGCAGCAACCCTGGCCTCTACCCACTAGACGCTAGTAGCATCCCTCAGTTGTGACAACCATTCCTAAATGTCCCCGGGGCGGGGGTTGGGGGCAAAGGAGGAGGGGTCATTTCCCCACTCTCAACGCAGTTGAAAAACACTGATCTGGGTGAACTTACCTTTGATTATTCCACAAAAGCAGAGAAGATGGTCCTTTGTGGGAGACAGAAATATGGATCAGGGTGTACGGGGTCCTGAGGAATCATATGAAGACCCATTGTTTATAAACCAAGTCCTATTCCAGAACCCTAGGGATAACAGATTGCTAAATGAGACCTATAAGGAAAATTCAGGGAAGGATTCATAATGTTCCTCGCAGCAGTTGCCTCTGACAAGAGACAGAAATCTGGAGAAGGGTGAAGAATCACTTTTCACTGCATAGTCTTTGTATCATTTAATGAATTACCTTTCCAAAGAAAAGAAGTATTTAGTATTTGAAAGTATAAGGAAATGCTCAGGTATATATTTATGTATTTATTTTGAGATGGAGTCTAGCTCTATCACCCAGGCTGGAGTGCAATGGCGCGATCTCGGCTCACTGCAAACCCCGCCTCCCAGGTTCACGCCATACTCCTGCCTCAGCCTCCCGAGTAGCTGGGACTACAGGCGCCCGCCACCACACCCGGCTAATTTTTTTGTATTATTTTAGTAGAGACGGGGTTTCACCATGTTAGCCAGGATGGTCTCGATCTCCTGACCTCATGATCCACCTGTCTCGGCCTCCCAAAGTGCTGGGATTACAGGGGTGAGCCACCGTGCCCGGCCAATTGATCCTTCTCTTCATTCAACTTACAGATCGCCTCCTCAGGGAGGCCTTACCTGGCCACCGTATTTAAAGTGGTCTCCTTCAGTGACCCTCCTTCCCTTTTCCCTATATATTTCTTTCCCAGTGATGATCGCTCTGTAACCAACTGTTTGCCTGTGTTGGCATCTGTTTCCTCCACTAGCCTGAGTTCATGAAGGGCAGGGACTTTTGTCTTGTTTGTGTTGTGCCTGGAGAGTCACCCAAGGCCTGTACCACCTTGAGTTCCAAACATTTGTTGAATAAACATGTTCTAAGTTGGGATGTCTCCACTTCAGTTTTAGCCCTTCCCACAATGCCAATTTGTACCAGTAGCCAAGGTCAGAGAGAGACGGTGAGAGAGAGAGAGAGAGAAGAGATGCCAAGGAAGTATGGTTCAGCATCAAACACATTTATTTCACTTTTATTGAGTATACAAGAACAGAGAGCACACGCATACAGCACGGAGCACTGAGGTGGGGGAGCATGGGGACGAGAGAGGAGAGAAGGGTGTGAGTAAAAAGGAACAGGACAGCATCGCAATTGGTTGTTAAGGTGCTTTTGAAAAAAAAATTATTTCGAGTGATGTTGCTCATGCAATTTCAGGCCAGTCTTGGAATGTGCTTGCAGGATTCAAAAACTGAAACAGGTCCTGGCACTTCCTGTACCCTCAGATGGAAAAGATCCAGAGAAAACAAAACAAGAGAAAATGAAGATCCATGAGATGGCAGAGTAGAAAAAGACCCTGGAGAGCATCTGGTTCTTTCTGCTTATTTTGCAAGTTGGGAAACTGAGGCCCAAGAGGGGGAACAGGGATAGCCTGATGTCACATGGTGAGTTAGGAGCTGAGCCAGGATGGTCACCCAGAACTCCTAACCGCCCTTAGGGACTTTTTCCACTATGCTACATGGCCTCCTGGGTAGAGAGGCAGCACAGAGAGGATGAGAAACGAAAAAGAGAAAAGGAAAAGTAGGTTGAAGACAGACAAGACAAACATCTCTATTCTCTACAAAGAGGAGGATGGGGAGGAAACAGTGCCCTAGATTCTAGCTTTGCAGGTCCCCTCCTCCCTAGTGGCACTGCCTGCGTCTCTGTAGAAGGGAGGTCAGAGCATCCACAGGATGGCAATTTCCCCAAGCCCTGGTGGCCCACAAACTCCACAAGCTAAGCCTGGTCACTTCATCCCTGCCCTGAAGCCAGGTACAAAATCCAGAACAAGGATCCTCCCTCTGAGGTGTGTCCAGTGTGCTCAGGACTCCTGGTTCCTGCAAAGATGAGTTCCTAGACCAAAGTGGCCCAGAGAGGATTGGAGCCACCACTCCAGCTCTTGACCCAGAACGAGTGGGAGCTCTCAAGTTAAGAAGGGCAGGAAGAAGGTTCTGTGGCTTTCCACCAGGACTGTAGAAAGAACCTGGTGTATGGAAAGTGTGCTGCTGCACTCAGGGGGAGTTGGAGTGGGTTCACCGGCCTGCACCTGGGGGATGCCGCTGATTCTGCTGCCCCGCTGAACTTCCCATTTGCCCAGAGAAGCAAATGCTATTCTGATTTCCTGCCCTGCCTCAGGCCAGCACCAGCTAAGCAGCTAAGGTATATGTCATCACTGACAAGCAAGCCAAAGGGACGCATCTAACCTGGGCTGCCTGGAGGCACCCCTGGGCAATGCCCCAATAGATTGGCGAGAGTGGGGAGATGCTCTCAGATGGGCCAGCCATGGCTGAAATATAAAGCTGGCTCAGGTGGCTTCTCAGGCTCCACCCTCCCCTCCCACCTTCTTCAGCCTGAGAATAGTCCCTGGCACAAGCAGGTAATCAGTAAATAGTTGTGGAATGAATTTATTAACTGGTTTAAAAGGAGGACTGGGAGGTAAAATGGAAGTGAGAAATTAGCAGTGCAGTGGGACATTTTCCCTCACCAAGGGGCACTTTCTGAGCTCAGAGCAGTAGCTTGTGGCAGACAAGCCTGAGGAAGCCCATGTGTGGCAGAGAGCAATACCAAGCTTTTGATGTGAGCTTCTTGAAGGGCTCCTGTGGTCTTGGAGCAATTTCTGGGTACAAACTCAGAGATCAGATGTTGATTAAGAGGGAGGTCTCCAAGCCAAGGTCTTATGCAGAGCTGGAGCCTTTGAGCAACATTGCCCGTCACTCTCAACTTTGTCCTGGGACAGGGGAGGCCTTTGCAAATGCAGTTTTTATCTCTCAGGGTCTGCCCCGTGCAGCCTCCTTACCACAGCTACTTTGGCCCGAGAAGAAGAAATGATTCAGAACAAGGAAGAAAGTAGAGGAAAAGGCTGAGCTGGGAATTTTTAGACAGTCAGGTTAAAGCCATCATCTTCTATAATGGCTGGGAGCACCACCTCCCTTTGGATATGGAGTTGGTTATTACAATGGGGTCAGGGAAGGGCAGGATGTGGCAAAAAAAAAAAAAAAAGAGAGAGAGAGAGAAAAGACTGAAAACCAAGGCAAGCCCCGCAGGGAGATAAGGACTAAGCCAGGGACCTCTACTGTGGCAACTTCAGCAGCAGAGTCCCAGATTGGGACCCGGTACCTGAGCACAGACCAGGTCCTGACTGCTACTACCAGGGGGGCAGGGAGAAGGTGTCTCGAACGGCATTTTGGGGACAACATCTGTGTTGCTTCTTTCTTGCCAAACCCACACCTCTCCATTAGGGGCCCCCACCCCTCCCCACCAATCAACCAATTACAAACACCACACACAGTATTACTACACTGAACCCGTCAGCCCCTACTGTGAGCCAACCCACACCCAGAGTCCAGGTCTCCTTAGCTGGGCCAGTTCAGTGAGATCTAGGAACCTCAGGATACATCAATCACAGTCAGATAATTATAATTTTAGAATGTCAGCTTCATACTTACCAGCACTGTTTATTTTAATATTTTTTTCCTGTTATATGCAATATACATAACTTAAAAGCACATCCGTACAAACCTCCTACAAGCTGCACCTTCATAATGAGAAACCATAAACATACAATGTCTACTTCCCTTCCTGTGGCTTCGTTTTCTGTTCTTGTTTTCTTTTCTTTTTCTCATTTCAAAGGAGAGTCATCTGCAGTGGCCCTCAGCAGGACCCAGACACAGAGGGTGAGGGGTGTAGGGTCGGGGAAGGGGGAGGAGGGAGCCGAGACAGAAAATGACAGCAAGACATTGAGAGTTGAGGGTGAGGGGAGGTGGGAGAGAGGCAGGTGAATTTTGCAGCCCAGTGTCAAGATCCAGAAAGTAAGAATCCAGTGTTCTTCCTCTTTCTTTCCAAGTGGGGAATTTTCTTTCTTTCTTGGAAAATGGTTGACTGTGCGTGTCTTGCTGCTGCGACTTCTCTTGCTTTGCTGCGCGAGTGTTTTCCTTTGCATTCAAGTGGGCCTCAGAAATGCTGGAGAAGAACAAATGGAATTGCTCGTCTGCTAACTGTAACGTGCAGAACCAGGGTGGGAGGGACTTCTACAATCATCGTGGTCTGGCTTGCGTTTTTTATTTGGCGGGGGAAAGGAGTGAGCAAGGGATTATAGTTATTATATAATTTTTTTTTCTTGAAAAAAAATCCCACCAGTTCTTCAATTTGTCTGCAAAGGAAATGTAGGTGTTCAGATGTCGGTTGTTGCCGTCGGCCAACTGCTCTGCCAGCCCCAGCAGCAGTGCAAGGACGCGGTGTTTCCTGTATATATATCTATATCTCTATATATCTATATATATATGCTTTTCCCTTCCCAGTCTCTCATCAGTGACAGTACGTCGCAGCTGGGACGTCGGTGTTGCGTCGGAGAATCCAGAATGAAGGCCCCTTCTTAATGGTTCTCTGGCTTGGGTTGGACCAGAAATGCCAGGATCTCTTCACAGAGGTCAGGATTCCTGGAAGCCAGAGGCATGGGGTAGAATGGGGGGTGGGGAGTGGGGGAAAAGGAAGAGGACAAGGAAAGTTAGCAACTTCGGTCACTTGTTTTTAAATACATGGCAAGAGGTTGTTTTTGCTACCCTTTACCATATGCCCTTTATTGTGACTCAGCAAGGTAGAGTGACTTGCACCTGTAATCCCAGCTACTTGGGAGGCTGAGGTAGAAGGATCTCTTGAGGTGAGAAACTGGAGGCTGTAACATGTAATGATCATGCCTGTGAATGGCCACTGCACTCCAAAGCCACACAGCTTGTGTGTGGCAGCAGAGAACTGAACCCACATCTGTCGGATTCCAGAGCCCATGTGTGTTTGCTCACTTGTTTCCAGGGAGGTGGTAATCTTTTACTTTGGCCTGAAAATGTGTTAAAATGTCCTTTAACACCAAGAAGCTAAGATCATCATCATTTCACTTTTTCTTCCTATCTTTTGTCAGCTCTAAGAAATGTTTAGTCACGATTGCAGATGTTCTTTTTTCATTTGTTTTTCCTTTCTGTTGTCCGTGGGCTAGCTGTGTCCTGGAGATTAAACCACAGACAGCAGTGATTAAATAAAGAAATGGAGCCTGGATTCCAGGTTTGGCTCCAAAACTCAGTGTTTAAGGGAGCAGGCTCTGCACTTTATGGGCCAGCTAGCTCTGTAATCTTGGGTGAGTTTCTTAACTTCCTTTCCTTTAAAAAAATTTTTAAGCGATGAGTCTTACTATGTTGCTCAGGCTGGAGTGCAATAGCTATTCACAGGCATAATCAATGCACATTACAGCCTTGAATTCCTGGCCTCAAGTGATCCTTCTGCCTCAGCCTCCCAAGTAGCTGGGATTACCGGTGCATGCCACAGTGCCTGGCAAGTTTCTTAACTTCTTTAAGCCTCAATTGTTTCCTCTGTAAAATGGGTTCTGCCTCCCATTATAGGGAGGAATTAAAGCAAGGGCCCGGCATATAATAAGTGCTGAATAAATACTGGCTGTTCTTATTATGATGATTGTTGCTGTTGTTAATTTAACCACACACTACTCTGATCTCCTTGAGGGCAAGGGCTGTCTTTTAACTCTTGTCTTTCCAGTGTCCAACACTGTGCCTGGCACACAGCAACTACTCAAAACCATTTAACAGATGAAACATCATTTCTGCTACTTGCATACAGTCAAGTGCTAATGGAATCATAGAAAACAGATCTTTCTTGGCTCATTTGACAGACAGAAAAACTGAGGCCCAGAGGCTTCAGGCTTAGCAAGTTGGCAAAACTAAGGCTAGAGCCCAAGGTTCCTGTTTTGAAACAGGTCAATTTTTTCCCTTTAAATTTTGTAAGGTCAGGAAGATGGGCAAGTGCTGCCCTCTTGCTGGTGGTGTTTGGGAGACAGGTCTTCTTTGAAGGAAGTGGGCCAGTGGAAGAAGATGGAGCAGAAACCAGACGTCTGACCTGCGAGGTTGCAGGGAGAGAAGGGAAAAGGTTCTGTGTGAGATGGGTGACTTTCCACACTCATAGCAAGAACTTCAAGAAGGAAGAACGTTAAGAAGGAAGACAAAGAGTCAACTGAAGCAGAGACAGACAGATGTTTCTGGAGGATTTGGGGAGAGAAGAGAAGAGTAAGACCAGCAAGATAAACACCCTCATGGAGACAGGGCTTCAGGCACCAGGCTGGTGGTAGACAATTATGGTCTGACTTTCTCAGTGCTCTCATCAACCTCTAAACATGGAGAAACCTCAGAGGGACAAGGAAACAGGTTCACTTTGCTGAGCCCCTTCTGTAGGCAAGACACAGATGCAGTATATCACAGGTGTTGTTTAGTTATTACAGCAACTCCAATTTCTACATTAATGACATTTTGCAGGTGAGGAAACTGAGGTCAGAGAGGTTCCTCTGGACACAACAGCCACCAAGGTGTTTCTAGCTCCAAAACCTAGGTGTATCCATCTATTCCTTCCTTCCTTCTCTTTTTTTTTTTTTTTTTTTTTAAACAGGGTCTTGCTCTATTGCCAGGCTGGAGTGCAGTGGCACAATCATAGCTCATTGCAGCCTCGACCTCCTGGACTTAAGCAATCCTCCTGCTTCAACTGCCCAAGTAGCTGGAACTACAGGTGCCAGCCACCACACCCAGTTAATCTTTTAAACTTTTTCTAGAAACCAAGGTCTCATTATGATGGCCAGGCTGGTCTTGAACCCCTGGGCTCAAGAAATCTTCCTGCCTCAGCCTCCCAAAGTGCTGGGATTCCAAGTGTGACCTGCTGCGCCTGGCCCCTGGTCAAAATTGAGTAGTATTCTTTCTACTCAATTTTGCTACATCCTAACCAGACATTGGTTTTTGTTTTGTTTTTCCTTACAGTAACAGGCTGCACTTTTAAGTTTGTGCATCAATTAATGAAGTGGCTGTCCTATAAGTCAGTGTAATCATTATTCTGGGTATGTGGGATATCTTCATAAGCCCATAGACACTTCAGAAGTACCAAAGACATCTAAACAACACAGTGTTATGATTTATTCTTTTTGGTTTATTACAGCACAGCACAGTCCCTGCGTGCAGCATTTTGTTAGCCTACTTCAAGTTAATAGTAATAGTAGTCATAATGAACTTTTATTAAGCACTCACTATGTGCCAGGCACTGTGCTAACTACCATGCTGCATGGATGATCTTGGTAGCCTTAGGAGACAGATGTTATGAAAAGTGAGTGTGGTGAGGTCAAGACCATTGGGTTTTGGAATCTAACAGATTGGGTTTCACTCTCTAATCAATCCATCATGTTCACAGCTTCATGACTGTGAGCAAGCCACTTAACATCTCTGAGCCTCAGTTTCCTCATTTGTAAAATGAATGAGCAGGTAACAGTACTTGTGTTGAATGCACGGCCTGGTGCCCGGCACAGCATAAGCTTTCCATAAATTATAGCGATTGTTATTACTGTGATGATCACTGCCATTTGGCTGACAAAGAAACATAGGCTGAAAAGTTTAAATGATTTGCTAAAAGGTCACACAGCTAATAAAGGGCAGGGCTTGAGACTCTGCAGGAGTGCAGAGCTCTTCCTTGGGGTACCAAGAGGCATCCATCCATTAAGCCAATGTTTCCAAGCACTTTAAAAAGGAGTTTTCAAATTCAGAGGAGACCTCTTCCAGAATTAATGAGTCTGACTGTATTAAGAGTCAGATGTGGGTTCTACTTGACCATAACTACTGGTAAAGCATGTGGGCAGAAAAGGCAAGGGAGAGAAACTTCTGGCTTGCCAGGGCAACATAAACAAGGTGACCTTTACAGAACAACCCAGAAGAGAGAGAGAGATGGTGCATGGTGGTGCGTGGGGCAATGGCAGCAAAGAAAGAACTAAAGAGAGGCGAGGAGGAGAGAATGAGACAGCAAAGGGAGCAGCGAGGTGGGCAGATATGAAAGACTGCATTGAGGCGGGGGCGGGGGGGTGGGGCAGGATGTGGAGGCCAGGACGAGAGCTCTGAATGGCTAGGGAAACGGGAAGGCAGGAGCCTGGGGGCCTGTTTCTGAATGCCCTGGGGAAGATGAGGAGGCGTGAAAGAGGGAATGGAGAAGACATGAGAAACACACAACAGATACCCCCAGGAAAGCAAATAGCCAGAGGACTATAATTGGAAGGGGGCTCGCTCCACCTCTTCATTTTGCAAATGAGGAAACCGAGTCCCTCATTGGGACTCAGGAAGAAACGGACCTACTGTCACACACCAGTCAGTGGAATAGCTTTAGAGCCAGGTCCCTGGATTCCCAGTACAGAGTTCTTTGCATCAGCGGCTCCTATACCTGGCTGCATGGGGACTCCCTAAGGACCAAGGTAGAAATGAAGATTCCCAGGCAACGCAGATCCCAGGTCCCAGTCCAGTCTTTCTAAATCAGAGTTTATGGAGAGGGTTCTCTAGTGCCTGTATTTTAAACAGGCTTCCCCAGGTGATACACCCAGCTCAGCAAGTGGCCTACACTCTACCACTCTGAGATTTGGGAGGAATAAAGGAAGAATGATTGAAAAACTGAGGGGATAGGAATGACAATCACATGTAAAGTCTGAGGAAGGCTGGGAGGTAGGCTGCACCCATGGCCAACCTACACTTCTAGACCAGTGCTGTCCAGTAGAAATAGAATGTGGACTACATATGAAATTTAAAATTTTCCTAGATAGGCCCGGGTGCAGTGGCTCACACCTGTAATCCCAGCACTTTGGGAGGCCGAGTCAGGCAGATCACTTGAGGTCAGGAGTTCGAGACCAGCCTGGCAAACACGGTGAAACCCCGTCTCTAATAACAATACAAAAATTAGTTGGGTGTGGTAGCACATGCCTGTATTCCCAGCTACTTGGGAGGCTGAGGCACAAAAATCACTTGAATCTGGGAGGTGGAGGCTGGAGTGAGCCAAGATTGTGCCACCACACTCCAGCCTGGGTGACAGAGTGAGACTCCATCTCAAAAAAAATAATAATTTTTTTTGTGAGACTCCATCTCAAAAAAAAAAAAATTTTTTCCCCTAGATAATAGATTTTCTAGATAACATTTCTGAAATTTTCTATATATTTCTGTCTTTCTAAAAATTTCTAGATAAATGGAAAATTTTAATTTCACAATCAAAGTTCTCAATTTTAGTTTACATTCAAAACGATTTAAAAAGAAACAGGTGAAATTAATTTTATTTTATTTTTATTTTTGAGATGGAGTCTCACTCTGTTGCCCAGGCTGGAGTGCAATGGTGCCATCTTGGCTCACTGCAACCTCTACCTCCCGGGTTCAAGCAATTCTCCTGCCGCAGCCTCCCTAGTAGCTGGGACTACAGGCACCCACGAACCCCCACTCCTCATTTTGTATTTTAGTAGAGACAGGGTTTCACCATGTTGGTCAGGGTGATCTCAAACTCCTGACCTCAGGTGATCCACCTGCCTCAGCCTCCTAAAGTGCTGGGATTACAGGTGTGAGCCACCATGCCTGGTCAGGTGAAATTAATTTTAATAGTACATTTTACCTAACCTGATGTATCCTTTATCATTTAAATATGTATCCAATGTAAAAATTATTGAGATCATTTATATTCTTTTTTTCATATTAAATCTTCAAAATCCTGCACGTGTTTCACCCTTAAAGCACATGTTTTTTAGACTAGCCAATTTCAAGTCCTCGGTGGCCACGTGCAGCTAGCAACTACCATCCCAGACAGCACAGAAAGAACACTTCCATCACTGCAGAGAGTTCTGTTGAACAGCCCTAGTCCAGACCAGAGGTTAGCAGCCTTTCAAGGCAGCAGGAAAATGTTTCAGTGCTTCTTCTTCTGACATTAAGGGGTCTGGTAATCAAAGGAAAAGAAACATTCTTGTATCTTTCTAGAAAAGACTGGTTTCATTCATTCAAGGAAAAGGGCAAAAAGGAGACCAGCGGTTATATTTGTGGGGTCTTTGAGATGGATTTTTTTTCATTGTGGTAGAACTCGTGAAATGTGTGAGGTGCACAACTCTAAGTGTGAGAAGAATTTTATAAATGTGTTTATATCTATACACCCATGTAACCTACCCAGTTGAAAATAGTGACATTTCCAGCACCCTAGAAGATTCCTTTGTGGCCCTTCCCTCTTCCTTGTGAATACTGCATCCCAGAAGTAACAGAAAAATCAGAAGGGTATTCTTCTCAGATAGAAAATCAGAAATATTCTGATTTTCAACACTGTAGATTAGTTTTGTTTGCTTTTGGACTCCCTATGAATGGAATCATACAGTTTATACTTCCTGTGCCTGGCTTATTTTATCCAACTCAATGTCTATGGGATTTTGTTTTATAGATCTGATAAGATCTGGTAAATTTCCAGAGGGCCCAGAAGAACCTCTCCCCTAATTCAGGCTGCTAAAAGCCCTATCTGCCCCAACATCTTCTTATTTATCTTATTCACCAAAGCACTGATGGCCTACAATTAAACAGGAGAATATAGGTTCCCTAAGATTTTGGCCCCTGCAGGTCTCAGAAGTCAAGATGCAATCATGCCAGGTGTGGTGGCTCACACCTGTAAGCCCAGCACTTTGGGAGGCTGAGGCAGGTGGATCACTTGAGGACAGGAGTTTGATACTAGCCTGGCCAACAAGGTGAAACCCCATCTGTACTAAAAATGTAAAAATTAGCCAGGTGAGGTGGCACGCACGTGTAGTCCCATTTACTCGGGAGGCTGAGGCAGGAGAATCACTTAAACCCAGGAGCCGGAGGTTGCAGTGAGTCAAGATTGCACCACTGCATTCCAGCCTGTGCAACAGAGACTTCATCTCAAAAAGAAAAAAAAAAATTGCAATCAAGCAAGACAGAAGAGATCAAGGGCTCTGGTCATCATGTCCCCTTAACAACATTCAGTGACTTGTAATAGAGAGAGAGACTCAGGGCCAGGAATGTGGCACTGGGCCTAGTAGGACTTTTTCTGACTTCTGGTTTATAGGCAATGCCCAAGGAGATAATGAGGGCCTCCATTTGTCCCACCTCAATATCCACTGTCATTCCTCTCTCCATTTCCCTCCCTTTAAAAACATTTTTAACCACTTCTGGATTTATTTTTCTGGATCTGGAGCCTGAAACCCCAAAGAAGCCAAGGAACCAGGCTTCCTTCCTCTCCCCACGGACTTGTCTCTTGGGGAGGTGCCCAAATCAGCAAATCAGGAAGGCTGGTAGGGGGGCGGGTCAAAGTTGCACTAGGGGTCAAGCCATTGGGTTCTCAGATGGAAATAGCCCTCAGAGGATCTTGCTACTGATCCCTCCTCTCTCTCATGGTTGCTGGGCCTCAGGAGCCTTACCTGTGGCTTCTTGTCCCTCTCCTCCGGGGATGGGTCTGTTTCTCTGTATACGACAGCTTTGGTTACCAGCATATCAGGATGCTGCAGTTTGGCCTCCTTGATGGCCAAAGCCAGAGCCTGGTGGTAAAGAACAGCAAAGGAAGGAACCATGAAATATCCAAGATGAGACAGACTGTGAAGAACAGCAAGCCCTCTAGTGCACAGCAGGAGAAACTGAGGCCCAGGGAGGGGCAAAGTCAAACAATTAAAGGGACAGACTACAGCTTGGCTCTTCTGGCTCCTTCTGGCTCCCATCCAATGCCCCTTCCTTGGGGGTTTCTTATCTGAACAGGGTCAGCAAGAAGTGGACACCTTCTCTGCCCATGAGCGTAGCCATCCATGGGTAACCCGACATAGGAGGGATTGAGGACTGGGCAGTGGCACTGGGAAGAATGGTTCCTACCCCCATACCTGGTCTTGATCGACATCTTCATCCCCAGTAATGATGATTCGCTTCTCGATCCTCGTCTCAGAAAACCCTCCTTTCACAGTCTGCAGAGGGAGAGGGAGGTGAGGTCACTCTTGGGTCCTGTTGGGGCAGCAGCCTCAAGAGGGGACCTACCCAAATCATCTCTCAAGGGCAGGGTTGAGAACCAGCAGTTACCTTCTCTCCTGACTTCCTCAGATTTTTTCTTCAGCAGTTACCTTCTCTCCTGACTTCCTCAGATTTTTTCTTTTCTGGTTTTGGACTTTGAACTGCAGATCTTGTCTGGCTGCCACCACTCCCCAAAACTACCAAACCACCCCATCTAGGTCCTCCAAGCCCAGCTCCAGTGCTGCCTCTCAGACCCTGGTTGGCAATGCTTCTGCCTTCCTGCCTTGGTACTCCCTGAGCACTGAGTCTGTCTCTCTCACAGTTCTGGACCTCTCTGCCTGGTGCCGACCATATGTGTGTCTGTGGCCATGTTCACCTCACCAGGCTGCCAGTTCTTGAAGGCAGGGTCTGTATTTTGTTCATCTCTGTATCCCCTCCTCTCCCACTCCCTCACCCAGTCTAACCAGGGCAGTGCTGAATGCAGATTTGTTGAATGAACACATGAATGAAATGTGAATGGTGACAAGGTTCTGCCTTGAACGACTTCCAACAATACTACAAGAGAAAATTAGATTGATGATACTTATGACCTCCGCTGTTTTCTGAAGGCACAGGATTTGGACAAGTTTCGAAGTAATAGCTGAGGCGGGACCTAATTGTTTGGCATGTTAAAGCAGGGTGGTGTCTGTGGGGAATCCCAGCTGGAGTCAGGAGTGGATAGAAAGAAGAGGGGGCTCCCAGTTGGCAGGGACTTTGGGAAGAAGAGTTTCCTGAACTGTCTGCTGTGGGCGTGGGATGTAAAACCTCCCATAAAGCTTTCAGAGAAGTCAACATTGCTCAGTAATGTTTTTATTGAGAGTGGGTTCTCTGTGGGGTATGTGAGAAAGTGCTGAATCCTGCAGAGGCGCAGGCAGAGGCCAGGACAGTCTGTGCATGAAGGCCTGGTGCAACTGACCAGAGTTCTCCTCTGATGGCTCATCAACCTGGCTGCTCCAGGCCTCCAGCCCTGGCTAGGCGCCCTCCTGCCTTCCTCCTGGCCACATAGGTATGGACGCATCAGCCCGCCTGCCTCCCAACTAGCCCTTGTCCTCATTGCTGGGTTACCCAGGAAGGCTTCCCTCCTTTGTCCCTACCTCTTCCTGCCTGGGCTCTGACTCACACCCTGGTCCAGGCCCTCCCTATCAGGCCTGAGTTATTTACTATTCATCTCTCTCCATACTTCTCCCTCTTCTTTCTCCCACCTATCTATACATCCTGGTGGATCTGATATTCTCTCCTTAAACCTATTTTCAATGGGTTACTCTCCAACCTAAAAATCTTCATGGCTTTCCAATCTCCCTGAGGCCCAGATCCTCCAGAGTCAAATGTGTCCTGGTATTTGTTATTTGCTCTATATTCCACCTCCCTGTCCCCAGTACAACCTAATTTCCCAGATACACCCCCTACATGTGATTCTCATGTCCCATAAACAGGCCTCACTTATGGCTACATCCAGCAGCCCCTGGCACAGAGGCCAACACAAATAAAGTTGACACTCACTAACATCTGCTCAACAAACAAACAAATAAGCAAACACACAATTTCTGCTTCCCTCTTCTGCTTTGCTTAGAACACCTGCATCTGTCTTCTCCTCCCTCAGGTGTCCTGCCTGGCTTTCCAAGACTCTACACAGTCCCTACTTCTTCTAAGAGATGTTTCCTGATTCTTGCAGGGCCTCTCATATGTCACCCCATCTAGATTCCTCCAGCATTTTCCATCTACAAGGTGCACACGCCATGGTTCACAGTTACTTCAAAGAGGAGAGTATTGTTCCCTCTAGCCTGGCTGTCAACACCGTGTGGGAAGGGCCCGTGCCTAGAACAACATGTGGCACAGGATAAAGCGCACAGTATTCCAGAAACTGGTAAACACTACAGGTTTTCTCTGCCCACTTTACAGATGGCGAAGCCAAAGCTGAACAACAGTCATGACCTTCTCGCCTGCAGCTCGGCTGGGGGCATGGGGCACCCTGCTGCTACTCACTTTGGTGACATGGGTGGTGGTGGAGGTTGAGAGGGTTTCCGCAGTGGCGCCGTAGGTGCTGGTGAGGACATCTTTCCCGATGATCTGCAGAATATAACCACCCCCCACCCAGGGTGTCAGGTAAGGACACTGGGCTCTGGAGGGGTGGGGGCGGGGTGGGGTAAAGGGCCCCGTGAAGGTGACACTTCAAAGCCAAGATGCTTTGAGCCATTAAGATTTCAAGAATACTGGAATCTTCAGAAACCTAGACCCAACAAATTCTCAAACCCTGGAATCTGAGATTCCTAGACGCTGAGATTCCTGAGGCCCAGAATCCTAACAATACCCTATAATTTAAGAATCCTGGCATCATGGAAGAATGACCAAAGGGATCCAAGGTGGAAACACAGCCCTCCTGACGCCCCAATCTGTCATAGCCAGGTGCACGCTCTCTACGGAGCTAAACAATGAAAACCACAGACTTGGAGAATGCAAGAGCTGAAAGAGACTCTACAGTGACAGACTCAGGGTCACCGGGCAGGCACCAACAGAGGCAGGTCCAGAATCCAAGCCTCTGGCCTCCTAGTCCATTGCTCTTCCTGGTTAGTAGGGAGGGCAGATGCAAAAGAACCATCAGCGGCACCACCAAGGTGAGGGGCCGCTTCACCCTCACACGCCACCAATGCCCCACTTACATGTGTGGGCGGAGGGGAGAGGGCCACTCATGAGATTCTAGCAGGTACCAAGGAGCTCTGTTGGCAACTGAAAAGGGTCCAGTTTCCTGGCTCTGCACCTAGAAGGGTGCCTTCTGGGCTCAACACTGCACTTCCTGCCAGCCATACATGGGTCTATGCCCATATTCTCAGTGTGGAGTCCCCTAGCCTGAGCTGGCCTTGCCCACTTACCGGAGAAAGAGAACGGATTTCCGTGGCCACCGTCTGTGGGCCTGGGATCATGGCAGCTGCCCCCTTCCCGGACTTGAGACTGTTCTCCTGGGGAAACAATAGTGCTCAGATGGCCAGCTCTCAGCCGGGTGGGCCCCCAGGATGGCCGGAGCACGTGGCCACGTAGCTATCACGACCACAAGGTTGAGTAGAAACAGTAGAAGCAAAGGACTGAAGGCATCGTTCAGTTCTGCCTCCTCTCACTCATCCCTTGCTCACTCAGGCACACACTCGTTCACTCGCACACTTGCAGAGTCACTCATTCAACCAACATTTACAGACTGTCTGGCGTTAGGAACACTGTAGTGCTCAAGACATGGCATTGTTCTCCAGAAGCACTAGCAGAGGAGTTGCCAGATTCAGGTTCGTGTCCTGCTCTGCCACCTTCGAGCCATGTGACTTGGGGCAGAGCCACTTCCTCTCTATGGGCCTTGCAGATTCATCTGTAAAAAGGAACCCTTGCCCCAATCCCACAGAGAACCTATGAAGCCAATGGAGTAGAAAAGGTTTTGCAAACCAGAATACATAGGATAAATATAGGGGCATAAGCTGGCTATTTAGAATATAATAATAATAATGACTTTCTGAGTGCTTGCTATGTGCTAGGCATCGTTTTAAGGATGTTACATGCCTTATCTCATTTAATTCTCATAATACCGGTAGGGCATTATTTTTAATATTCCTGATTTTCAGATGAGAAACTGCAGGGTGAGAGAAACTTAAGTGTTCAGTCCCCCAGCAAGCTAGTGGTAGAGCTGGAACTTAACTCCATGTTGTCTGACTCCAAGTCTGACACACTCTGCACGCCACTCTGCCCTTGGGAATCTTTCCCTTCAAACAGCCCTCTTGGCCCTACCTTAAATTCTAACTGCTAGATCTTCCTGGAATTGTCCCCGGACTTACTGCCCCTGATCTGGCCAGGGCCCAGCTGCCTGCTTCTACCTCCTACTTTCTGCACCATCTCAGGGCTCAGCCTTGTCTGTCCAGAGACCCAGAACTGTGTCCATTCTGCAGGTCCTCAGTGGCCTGACCTCTTGTTCTGGTCCGGGCATGGCACTAGATCTGAACTTCTGCCTACTAAGGGGCAGGTGAGAACAGAAACTCACTGACTTTCCCCTGCCGCTCCCACACCTGTATCCAGCTGAGGCTGCCAGCAGCCTGGTTCTTTGGTACTGTACCACAAAGCACGTTCCCAGATGCACCTGCAGTTCCAGAATATGGCCCAGCCGCAGCCTTTCCAAGGGCAGCTTCCAGGCTCAATGCTTCCTTTCCCCTTAACAGACACTAACCCCTCTGAATCCTAGCATCATTCTGGGAAGTTCTTCCTTAAAGCCTCTTATTCTCTCATTGTTCTGTCTTTCCCAGGGCAAAGCCTCACCTCCACCTTCACACTGAAAACAGAGGCCACCACTAGGGACTTCAGTCATTCAAAACAAGGCACCCTCTGCTCCTCCTTTCCTCTCCTGTATCCTTGGCCAGTCCCATCACCTGCCTCTAGGAGGAGCAGTTTCTCTCCCTGACCAAGGCAAACTCAGCCCTCTCTTCCTCCACATTCAGGCTCTCCTCACTTGCCACCCGCTCTCTGGGCCACCTCGGCCACTCAACAGCTTCTGCTGCCTCATGGAGGTCAAAGTCCCCTATCCCTTCACCTGTAGCCCAGATCTTTCTTGGACCCTAGGCCTTTAAAATCGGTTGTGTCCTAGACATTTTCTCCTGGAAATGTTCCACAGGCACCTCAGATTCATCCGATCTCGAACAGAATTCACTGCTTCTTCCACTTCCAACACATGCTTGTCACTAAAGAGCACTTTCCCCCAGTGCTCTGTTTATATCAGCAGAGGAATCAGCTGGAGGGCTTGGAAAAACACACACTGCTGGGCCCCACCCTAGAGTTTCTGAGTCAATAGGTCTAAGGAGGAGCCCAAAGGACCTGCCTTGCTAACAGGTTCCTGGAACCACATTTTGAGAACCACTGGTTAGTGAACAGTGTCACGAGCTCATCTTTCCTCTTGTCCCCTGAATATCCTACCAACGACCAAATCCTGGGCTTTCCTCCCCCCAGGCATCCCTTAACTCTGACCCCTTCTCTGCATCCACCTCCTTGCACTCCAGCCCCAACCCAGCCTGGGCACCAACGTCTAAGCTGGTTCTCTGCCTTCTCTCTCTGTCTCTCCCAGTGGCATGTGGGCCCCAGATCTCAGGGATGTTCCCTTCTTTAGCTGGATTCACAGTGGCTGGTACAGAACTGTACACATCATGGGTGTTCAATCAACACTTGTGGAAGGAAGGAGAGAGAGAAGGAGGGAAGAATTTTTTGCTCAAGTCCCTCATCCACAGAGGTTGCTAGAATAATCTTTCTAAAACACAGAAACACATATCTGATGACATCATGTCCCTAATGTAAAAAATGTAAGTGATTCCCCATTGTCTGCAGGACAGAAGTTTGAATTTGGTATATGACATCTGAGGCCCATCAAGCTCTGGTCTAGACTTCCTTTCCAGCTCTTCACCCCCGACTCCTCCTCCATGTGCTTGACATCTGGCTTTCCTGACCACTGGCCCTTCCCCAAATGCTATGCTTCTTCCCTTCTGCCCTTTGCACTTGCTTTTCCCACTGTCTAGAATGCCTTTCCCCGGGACTGTACCTTAATTTATCCTTCAAGCATAGCTCACTCAAATGTCCCTGCCTAGAGAAAGCCTTTCCTGGCTCCTCCTGGCAGAGCTGTCACCCCATAGCTGCCTTCCTCATGGTCCCTAGGAGAGTGTTATTACCCTATCCCATGAAGGCAGGAAAGAAGTAACTGCAGCTCACATCTTCAGACCACTTACTATGTGCCAGGCACTGTTCTCGGGGCTTTGCACAGATTGCTTTGGTTCCCCCTCACATCAGCCCTTTGAGCACATGCTATTACTGCCCTCTACCCTCACCCATTTTACAGAAGTGAAAACTGAGGCTTGGAGAGGTTCAGGTGACTTGCCCAAGGTCATCCAGCCAGGAAGTGGGACAGCTGGGCCTTGTTCTCCACTGTATGCCCAGAACCTAAATACAGGGGCACAGCACATTAAAGGTGCTCATGACGATCATTTGAATGAATGAATCCCAGCAGGCAGTATAGTTTCTTCAACTGTACCCCCCATACCAGGCAGATAGTAGAGACTAATAAATGTTTTTGGAACAAATGAATGAATGGATGGATGGATGGATGAGTAAATGAATGATATAAGTGCCTGCTCACCATACGCGTGGATTTAAATTTAGCCCTACAAGCATCCCAATGACACGTGGTGAAGGACTGAGGGGAGAGGAGGAACTGAGTGACCAGGGAAAGGTGTGCAAGCTGGTAACTAGTTTGGACTTATTGATCTTAAAATTTCTGTGTATTCAAAACCTACCTGCTGGCTAGTCTAGATTGATGGAATTCCCTTCCTATGTATATGTCAGGGGGTTGGCAAGAAAAAGCATTTGAAAACAACTTCTCAGTGGCTCAAGATAGATCTGGCTCCAGCACTGCTACCTTTCCTAGCCCGAGTAGCGGCCGCAACTGCAGCCCCAACCCCATGTGGCCGATGTTCACAATGGTCAGGATTAAGGGAGCAGAGCAGAGTGGCTGGGGTTGAAAGTGGGGCTCCTGGTGTTAGAACGCCTGTGGATAACCTGGCACTACCACTTATTAATTGTGTGACCTTGGGTAAGTTGCTTTACCTCTCTGAACTTCAGTTTCCTCATCTGTAAAGGTTGTGGAGGGAAGAGCATCCACTGAGATGATCCACTCAGGAGTCTCAGCACATTGCCTGGAACCACAACCTGTGTGCCGAATGCTATCTGTTCTGTTTAATCATGAAAGGATCTAGTATTGCCGGGGTCTCTTAAGAACTGCAGAATGGGGATTACTGCCATTTTACAGATGAGGACACCTGAGGCCAAGGGTCTTCCTTCATGGGTCAGACAGCAAATAAGTAGCAGAACCATGAGGTCCCTCAATGAGGGGGGTGGTCCCAAAAATCCTGTTCCAACTTAGGGTAACTGCACGCCATCTACTGACCAAGGCAAGGAAGTGGTCTAAGACAAGAGACAATGTGCAGCCACCAGGATGGGTCCACAGGAAGGACTCCAGCCTCACCTTCAGAGTGGAGGTGAGATGAGCCAATGAAATCTCAATGCAAGATGAGATTCGTGGGTGCCAATAACCAAAGAGGACCATCCTCTCTCTCTCCCTGCCGCGGCTGAGATGGTCTAGATAACTGACACTCAGGGATTCCACCACCCACATTACTCACTTTGGAAAACTGAGGCCTGTCTCTATGTCCTGTGGCAACTAAAGCCCCAGACAATAAACGGCTGATTTATGTCCCATGCCTGATACAGCAAGGGCAGCTCACAACTTCCTGAATCAGCCAGGCGATGTTAGCTTGTCCGCTGGCTGTTTGGCGGGGCAGGGGGCTGGTCAGAGAGGGAAGCCTCCTGGGTTCAACTTACCATGGTGGTCGATATGGTCTCCGTGGTGATGGAGGGAGTGGTTGCTATGAACTCCCTCCCCACTGAGGCACTCCCATCAACCTGCTGACCAGAGGAGGAGTCGTTAGAGCTGGGGAGAGCCGGGTACACCTGCAGCATCTGTCACCTGGGCTCACGGCCTCCCAGTTACAAAGTGACAGGCTGTGTGAGTGAACATCACTGGCAGGGGGCTGCACACAGACCAAATCACAGAGGTGCAACAGGCCCTCATTACATTTCAACCAGTGTATCTGATAAAGAAAAAATAATTTCAGACTATCTGGCAAATTCTATCCAAATTGCAATGAGTGTGATTTTTGACCTAGCCATCTCTAGGAACTGACTCTTTGGATACAACCTTTGAAAAGCTCACCGAGAAGTACCAGCAAGGAAATTCACGGCAGCGCTGATCATGAATTGCACGAAACAAAAACAACCACAAGGCATGCCATTGGGAGACAGTGAAATAAATCAAGATTTGCCTCCTAAGTGAGATGAACAAGAGTAAGGTGGGTCTATGTAGGCCAACAAGGAGCGATCTCCAAAATAATTACTAAGAAGAAAGGTAAGGTGTAAGAAAATGATCGCTTCTGTGTAAACATTGTTAAGTATATAGAGATGTAGGTATCTGTGTTGGAATAGGCTTATATATTTTTCTGGGTAGTAATATAAGAAAAATCCCATTTTGTTCTGCTTGAATTGTATAACTATAAACTTTTTTTTGTTGTTTTGTTTTTATGTCGATAAGGGTTACTGGGCTGTGGGATCTAGGGCCAATTTTAGTTTCTTTATACTTTTCTGTGGGAAAACACAACAGAAACATGTATTACTAAAACAAAACAGGTCAGGGGGAAAGCAGCTTGCCCAAGGTCACACAGCTCATCAGAACTCAAGAGTCCTGACCTGTAGTAGGCGGCCTCATAAACTCCTACTATCATTATAAAAGTGGGAGAAAAAAACTCTGGAAACAAAAGAATTGCCCATGTTGTATTGGTTTATGTCTTATTTCAGTTTTCTCTTTGTCTCTCTTTTTTTTCCTGTCACCCAAGCTGGAATGCAGTGGTGCAATCCTAGCTCATAGTTCACTGCAACCTTGACCTCCTGGGCTCAGGCGATCCTCCTACATCAGCCTCCCGAGTAGCTGGGACTATAGGCATGTGCTACCACGCCCAGCTAATTTTCGTATTTTTTGTAGAGATGGGATCTCACTATATTGCCTCAGCTGGTCTTGTACTCCTGGGCTCAAGCGATCTGCCTGCCTCGGCCTCACGAAGTGCTGAGATTACAGGTGTGAGCCACTGTGCCTGGTCTTATTTCAGTTCTTGAGAAAAAGGTTAGCCTCAGAGCCAAAAAGCTCCTAGCACTGTAGCTCTTCTGGCCAGGAAAAACCAAGAGGGCATCTATCAGACCCTCAATCTTAATTTCCTAAGTCTAAAAAGCATGGAAGGAGTGCAGGGAATGGACTGGAAGTGGTGGACCTGTGCCTATGCCTGATGGCTTTCTCCAGGTGGTCAGGGTGCTGCTTCTTGTCAAGACACATGATCTTTGGTTTTCTTCTTTCACTTTGCTCATTTTACTGATCTGATGTGGAACTCTAATACATAAAAAATGACCCAAGGTGAGCTGTTCTGACTGAAGCTGAATTGGGATCTCTCCCTCTTCTCTCCCCAAGCAGCTCCTGGGATACCTCAAGAAACCTCTCCAACTCCTTGAAGCAATGTGAACATCAAGGTCCCAATCCACTAGCCAATACAGTCCTCCCAATATGCCCAGGAGGAAGGGGTAGACAGGGTCATTCCTATTTTATGGATGGCTAAATGGAGGCTTTAAGAGGTATGGTCTGCCCAGGACAAGAACCTACTTTACCCGTCACCCCTTCCCAGAGCTCAGGGAGGACACTGAGGCACAGAAGAGCATCAGGATTAAAATGTGGGTTCCAGGGAAGCTGAGATTAAAAGCGTTGGCCAAGGGTTTTGGCCACAGCAGTGGGGACCCTATCACCAAATGCCCAATACCTGTTGCTTAGGGTACATTGGAAGGCACAGGTTACCTGGGTATTATCCATAGCGGAGACTCTGGTCTGCAGTACAGCCTCCGGCTCAATCTTCTTTCTAATGGCCAGACTGCTGACAGTCATGGTTTCCGTTTTCACGGGCTGTAGGAAAAGGAGGGAGAATGCTCTGTAACTGAGACCCTAGCATGACCCTTGCTCACAGGCAATTGCAGTGTGGGGTCTGCAGGCTATCTCCTATCCCCACAGCTGGCCACATTTCTGGAAGGGTACTCAGGTCCGGGTAAAAGAGACGTGGTGTGATATCATAGACAAATAGCCTGCAAGGAGAGCCAGGACCATCACCAGGACCAGGTAGGCCTGCCCTGCGCCCCTGTGCCACACACCCTCATGGTGGCTATAAGTTGTTTTTTAGGCTACTATTAGAACATCTACCATTTTATTAACATACTATATGCCAGGCCCCAGGCTAAATGTTTTGCTTGTATACATAATGTCAACGAATCCTGAATGACTTCACTGGTGAGCTCACCACCTCTCAGCTGCTTCAGCCGAACTCTTTTTTTTTCTTTTCTATTCTTTTTTTTTTTTTTGAGACAGAGTCTCCCTTTGTCGCCCAGGCTGGAGTGCGATGGTGCGATCTCGGCTCACTGTAACCTCTGCCTCCCAGGTTCAAGTGATTCTCCTGCCTCAGCCTCCCAGGTAGCTGGCACTACAGGCCCACGCCACCACACCCAGCTAACTTTTGTATTTTTAGTAGAGACAGGGTTTCACCATGTTGGCCAAGCTATTCTTGAACCCCTGACCTCAAGTGATCCACCTGCCTCAGCCTCCCAGACTGCTGGGATTACAGGTGTGATCCACCGCACCCGGCCTGAACTCTTCTTTACAGCAAGAACCACATATGCTTGGAGGCCTGTAACATCCAGGCAGGAGATGTCAACGAGTGAAGAGGGTTTGTTGAGGACGGGCGAAGTAGAGAGTATGTGGGGTCCATTTGGGTATGGCCAGCTGTGACTATGACCTTTGAGCGTCTGATTGTTTTTTTTTTTTTTTTTTGAGATGGAGTCTTGCTCTGTTGCTCAGGCTGGAGTGCAATGGCGCAATCTCAGCTCACTGCAACCTCTGCCTCCCGAGTTCAAGTGATTCTCCTGCCTCCCGAGTAGTTGGGATTACAGGTGGGCGCCACCACACCTGGCTAATTTTTGTATTTTTAGTAGAGACAAGGTTTCATCATGTTGGTCAGGGTGGTCTCGAGCTCCTGACCTCAGGTGATCTACCTGCCTTGGCCTCCCAAAGTGCTGGGATTACAGGTGTGAACCACCATGCCCGGCCGGTTTTTGTTTTTGTTTTTTTTTTCTTGTTTTGTTTTGTTTTTAAGAGACAAGGTCTCACTCTGTCATCCAGGCTGGAGTGCAGTGGCATGATCAAAGCTCACTGTAGCCTCGAACTCCTGGGCTCAAGTGATCCCCCCTGCCTTCTTGCCTCAGCTCCTGAGTAGCTGGGATTACAGGCACAAGCCACCATGCCTGGCTGAAGGGGATTCTTATAGATGGTTGCAACCCTGTAACCCAGCCATTCATCCAGTTAATCATCTATTAGTGCCTAGTATATGTCAGGCCTTGAGGAGCTGCCACCTGGTAGGAGAGCAGGCTCGTCAGCCACTGACCTGACCGCTTTGGATAGTGCTGGAGCATAGGCATTACAGGGCAAGGGAGTAAGGGGGCAATACTTCTGCCCAGGGTGGTCAGGAAAGCAAGCCCCTGCTGGGAAACTGACATTTGAACTTGGTCCTGGAATATGATAGGTTTGTAAGGCACTGAAAGGGAGAAAAAAAACCTGCTCAGAGAGTATAGCATGAAGTGAGAGCCCGGAGTGGCTAAGCTTGTATGTCAATGCTGGGAACGTTGGGGAAAGGAGAATGTAGGAGGGAGGCTGGGTCTAAAAGAGATGAGGGGGCAAAGGAATGATATGGGCAGATGTGCCTTAGAGAAATCCCTTCACAGCTCTGCAGAGGAGACCACAGAGAGGCCCAGAGACAGTCTGTCCCTCCTCAATGACCACATTTCCTCTCTTCCAGGAGCTTCCATTACCACCCTGAGACTCCAGGGCCAGATGGATTTAAACTGCTTCCCCTTCCCTGGGAAGCCCAGACTCCAGAGAGACGAGCCTGGGCCTGGATCAGGAAAAACCATTCAGCTTTCAGACCAGGCTGCAGGAGCCCCCAAGAGTCCAGAGACGCATGCTCTCTGCAGGTGCCATGCAACACAGGTGGGGGTGGGGGGGTCAAGTAAGACCAGACTACCTGTCATCGCTCGACCTCAGCAAGCAATGGGGTCACAGGGTTAAAACGCCAAGGAGCGCGTGTTAGGGGTAAACCGAGATGGCAAACATGCGAGCACAGAACCATGCTGTTCTGCGGAGGGGCAGTCATGCAACACGAGACAGAGCTTCAGGCTGCAGGCTGGGTGCTCGGTCTTCTCACAGGTAGTCCTGGGCCCTGTGAGCATGCGGTGCCCAGTGGGCCCGGCTCTTGAGGAAGCTCCACTGTACCTCAAACTGGGGCATATCCGGAGTGGAGCAGGCCCCTCGATCCGGGCTGTCCTCAATGCCCCCAGACTCATCATCCTGGCTGGTGGCCCCCTTGTTAAGATCCCGGGAGAACACCAGACCCTCAGTGTCTGAGTCGCTTTTGTCCCGGTCGAGCTCAGGCAGGCTGCGGGAGAAGTCTTCGAAGGCGCTGCCGTGGTAGTCACCAATGACCGTGAAGTCCACCTCAGCCTCCAGGCTGGACGTAGAGCTGACCGTGATGCTGGAGCACTTGCGCTCAATGGCCAGGTGGTTGTCCTTCAGGAACACCGTGTCCCTCTCCTGGTCCTGGTCCTCATCGCCTGTGTCACTCTCTGGGGCCCGGGGACGTGGTGGTTTGACTTTCTCCTCGGAGCCCTCCCTCAGCCCTGCTCTCTATGGCCAGATAAAATCAAAAGAATGGGGATGTGGGGTGGGGAGAGAGAGAGAAAGAGAAATCAAGACGGTGAATGTCAGGAGAAATCTTGGGGCTGTGTTGACATCCCGAATGGAAGAGCAGACCAGGAAATGAAAAACACCCCAGGAAAGGTTCCTTGAAATCATAACAAGCTTAAAAAAACCAAAAACGACTCAAGAGTGGAGATGCCCCTTTCTGAGGGTCTCACACTGATGGCACAAGCAAGTACAAAGCAAATGTCCTGCCAGTGAGTCCTGGACAGGAGGCTCCATCCAAGGGTATTGGATCTGGGAGCTTATTGGAAGCAGCATTGCACGAAAGGCAGGGATGGAAGCCCGGACCCCAGGCCCATCCGTGCAGGCGGGTGTTGAGAAACAGAAACTAAGGAGGGAGATCCAGGGATTCAGGGAGACCCAGGAAGGGAAGGCAGAGAGGTTGGAGCCAAGAGCTTTGAGGAACAAAAGAGGAAGCCAACATGTTTGTCAATTCCACTGAGTCTCCGGGGGAGGGGTCAGCATCTACTAGAGAGAAGAGCAATTTGGGGTCAGGCCTTTTGGGCACAAGCTTCTTGGGAGCTGAGTGCTACGCCGGCTCTACCCTGAGCTCCATGAGTAGACCACGGGCAGGTCAGAGAGTAGAGGCTCTGGTCCCATCAGTGTAATTGACAACAGCGGGCCAAGGCAGTGCCTCGGGGAACCAGCAACTCTTGTCCGACATACATACCTCTCAACTGGCCTGTCAGGGATTAAACACCACACACACATTTTTGGCTGGTTCATGACATTCTTTTTAAAGACCAACCTAATACCCATGAAAGATTTGTAAAGAACTTGGCTTCTGGTTCTAGGGATTCAGTGGGCTTAGACATTCACTTGCTAAGCAAGCCTCCATTTAGCCAGTTTCTGGAAGGTTGAGAGGTGTGAAGGAGACATTCCAGACAAGCCAGAGTTGAGCAGCACAAGAGGTGCTGCCACAGCGGGTGGGAACCTAAGGCGGCGATGCATCCTGGCCAGGTGAAGGTGACCGGGTCATCAGGGCACAGAGGGGCTGCAGAGACCTGAGGGCCCAAGGGGCTGGTGAATCTCAGGCGCCCCCCCTTCCCAGGGGTGTTGGCTGCTAAGTTGGTGGAGTGCTTCTCTTCCCTGACCGCATCTCCGGATTTGTTCTGGATTAGAGAAGACAGTTAGTCTTAAGGAGGCAGAAAGAAACTTGGCACTGGGACTGAGAGGGAACCAGAAGCGAAGGATGGAAACCTCTGGACTGTCAGTTTTCCCAAGGCGGGAGAACCAGGGATGGGAAAGGATGAAGAAAGATCGCTGGACAAGCCAAGCAAGGTAGGCAGGAACCCAGCGGGTAGGAGCGGCAAGGCAAAGCAGGTGTGTCATTTGCTGGTGATGGCGCCACCTTCTCCATGGGGGTTGTGTGACCCTCTGGGCACCAGGTCACACCAAAAGCTGAGGGTCTTTGTGGCCAAGCTAACATGGGCCAAGCAGAGAAGCCCATCATTCAGCCTGAGCTACACCCAGGCCCCTTTAGGGAAAAAACTCACAGGGATGGATAAGCAGCCTCTGATTGCAGTAATGACGAGGGGCCACTGAAACATGCTTCTAAAAACTACAGAGCATGCGGCCAGCCCCCATGGGTGGGGAGCAGCGGTGGGGGTGGGGGCTCACGCGGCCAGTTACCCCAGTTCCAGTTGCTTCTGCCAGTGTGGTTTCACAGCCCGAATCGGGGGACACAGGCTCTAGTTCTGTGCGTGCTTCCTGGTAGGATGCAGAAGTGTCCTCCCTGAAGTGTCTGGTACCCAGAGGCATCACTGTAGAATGTGTGGCTTTGGGGCTAGCAAAGTCCCCTGGGGGCTGGAGTTGGGCGAAGCCCAGGTCTGAGAGTGTACTCCACTGCTGCTCTGCCTGTCCCGCGGGGGCCTCTGAAGACAAGTCATTTGGAAGGGCCCTTGCTTCACCCTCGCTCATTCGGCGAGTTTCAGCTCCATGGGTCTCGAATATCCGAATTTTATTGGCCACTGAGGTCTTGCTAATATCTTCTATGGAGCCCTCTTCAACCCCTGCCTGGAAAGAGGTCATCTCCCTTTGTTTCCCTGAAGGGAACCCCAATCCCAGAGTTATGCGCCCCTCAGCTTCTTCAGGGACTACTCTGGGCTTTCTGCTGGTGATGCAAGGAGGCCTGCGCTCACTTCCTGTGGCAGGGGACACCACAAACCCTACTTGGTCCTTGGGCTCTGGGCTGGCTTTCAAAAGATGGACATGTCTAAGAAAGGGCTCCCTGAGCTCCGAAGGCTCCCCTGACCCATGGGAGGTTGGGCTTGGAGAAGCTTCCTCCAGAACTGCCAGGTCCTCAGAGTGACCAGGGGAGGCCGGCAGGGGGATGATCACCTCCATGTGAAGAAATGCTGAGGCCTCACGGTCCTTCAGCTCAGCCCCTCCTTTCTGGATGGGAACCACTCCCCTCTCTTTGGGCGGGAAGTTGCCTCTGCCTGGTTTGGCTGGCTTCCTGACATTCAGAGGGATGGCCCGAGGGAGGGCGCAGGCCTGGGGTTCGGGACGCACACCGCATCCTCTGTGAGGAGGGTGTTTCTTCAGTTCCTCTGTGGGACTTTCCTCAGCCTTTCCCAGCAAATCTCCACTCACGGGGGCCCCTTCCTCTTGGGTTGCGCTAGCTGTTGGGTGGGGAAACTCTCCTTCCACTTCCCACTGAGCATCTTCCCATCCTTCAGCAAATGCCTGTCCTGCAGTAGGTCCCTTCAGGTCACCAGGTCCTCTATGGTTCTTGGGGGTCTCTGCCCCTTCCTCTGGGGAAGCCATGTGGGCTTCGTCCTTGCTCCTGCTGGGAACAGCAGCAGAAACCCTCAGGTCTGAGGAATTTAGCGCCGGCCTGGGCTCACCTCCAGGAGGGGCATCCAGGCGCCCTTGTCTCTCCTCCAGGGGTGGAGGGAGGACTTGGTCTTCTGAGTCTTTTTCTTCATAGTTTAAATAGAAGCTCCTCTCTGCACAGGAGGTATCAGTTTCATCACTCGACTCAGCTCTGGCTTCTGCGTGGGCTGGATCCAACAGAAACGACTGGAGTCCTCCCTTGTCGGAGGCTGGAGAGAGGACGTCCACCTCTGCTGGCCTGGTCCCTGAAGCAGTGGGTCTCCCACAAGTGTGGGGCTCCTCCAGCCCCTTCCTCAGCTCTGTCTGGCCCTCCGACTGACCATGTGACATGCAGCGGTTCCTGATGGTTGCCTCTCTGGTGTCTGCCCTGAGCTTGGAGCCCTTGAGGAGCTTTTCTGTCAATGTGCGGCCAGAAGACAGGGCAGCCCCTCCTGGGCTTTCCCTGATCCAGGGGCTTTCCTCCCCCACTGACTCAAAGTCTTCAGGACTTGCAATCATTTTTCCTCGTTGCTGGGTGTTTGCTCTTCTGGTTCCCACCATTTCTTCTGTGGCCACTTCCACTTTGAACTTGTCCACCAAAACGTCTACCTTGGAGAGTCTGCCGTCGGCAAGGATACCAGCAAGGCCTGTCTGCCTTTCTTCCTGATGCATGGTGGTCACTTTTAGGAGACCGAGCTCTTCTGGCCTAGTGTACTGTCTTTCTATAAATACCCAATGCTCTGAACCCTGTGTTTCAATTGGAGCAAGAAGAGTTAACATGAAATATCAGGCACCTAAAGAATGGGTGAGTTTTTCCCTTTGTAAGAGGGGACCAATCTACCACTGAAATGTTTGACTTTGGGACAGCACATCCCCAGAACTGGCTGGGGAGAGGAAGGCATGATGTGCCAGCCATTCTCATCAAGGTCCCTCTTCCCATCAGGTGCTTGATAAATTATTGACCAATTTTCCTCAACCACTGCCCCCAACTTGATAAAATGGGATGGGGTCCTATGCCCTCCCCCATGTCAGCCATGGGGAAACGGAGATCCATGGATGGGCCAGGACCCTTCCTCTTCCTCTTTTAATAATATAACTGCCACCGTCAGAGGGGAAAGTCGTTTCCATCACATGGAATATTTGAATGTTAGAGTCAAAAGTACTCTTACGATGTTATCCAGTCTCATCTCCATATTGTGTAAGTGAGGAAACAGGTCTAGGGAAGGTCAGTGACTTGTGCAAGGTCACTGTTAGTAGAAGATAGAGTCAGGAAAAGAAAGCCTGATTTTTGAGGCTGGAGATCTTTGCTAACTTATTTTACAACCACGGAATATAGGTGCCAACTGTGATCTAACGGCAAGTTGAAGGGATGCGTTAAGTTCCACAGGCCACAGCCTGAAATCAAACCTTTCTACGAGGACTTCTGGGAAGAAAGCAGAGTAGTTGTGGAGATACCACTTGGCCAGGTTAGTGCCAGGCACCACAATGGCTTAAACAGCTTGAACACTGTAGGGTTCAACTCAAAAGAAACAAATACCAGGGCCCATTCTAATTCTAACAAAACCCATATAAAGAGCAGAAAAGGACTGAATAGAATGCATCAAGGAAGGGAGAGAGGCAAAGATCCAAGCATCATCGTGCATCAAAAGCACCAGAGGCCAGCGCGGTGGCTCACACCTATAATCCCAGCACTTTGGTAGGCTGAGGTTGGCAGATCATGAGATCAAGAGATCAAGACCATTCTGGCCAATATGGTGAAACCCCATCTCTACTAAAAATACAAAAAATTAGCTGGACATGGTGGCATGCACCTGTAATCCCAGCAACTTGGGAGGCTGAGGCAGGAGAATTGCTTGAACCTAGGAGGCAGAGGTTGCAGTGAGCCGAGAATGTGCCACTGCACTCCAGCCTGGCGACAGAGACTCCGTCTAAAAAAAAAAAGGCCTGGGCGCAGTGGCTTATGCCTGTAATCCAAGCACTTTGGGAGGCTGAGGCAGGAGAATTGCTTGAATCTGTGGGGCAGAGGTTGCGGTGAGCCAAGATTGCACCATTGCACTCTAGCCTGGCAACAAGAACAAAATTCCATCTCAAAAAAAAAAAAAAGCACCAGATCGCAGCACTGTTAGGCCATCTCCCAACAGCCTCTACCTCCCCCCAAGAGTTCTTCGAACAATGCCTGGGAGGGGATGATGGACTTCTAGGATGGTTAGAAAAGCAGGAAGGTAACTGGGTTTTTCATCTTGTGGCCACAGGATCCTTCACACAAAATTTTAATGGAAGTCGGCTATGTGACAGAAATACAGAGCTGCCCTGGTAAAGTTGGGGGTGTGGGTGGCCTTAGTGCCCTGAGGTACCTCCCTCCTTTGAAATCACTGCCCCAACTAGAGCCCCTCCATGATACAGATATGGAAACTGAGACCTGGAGATACAGGGAGCCCAAGGCCATACAGGGAGCAAGTGGAAAGGCAGGCCTCGAACTCAGTCTCTGACGCCAAGTTCTGTGAAGTGTGTCCTCTCCACCCTACCATGACCACCTCCACAGGGAGACGTGCCCAAAACTGCTCCTAGCAGCAGGAGGGGGAAGGTTTATATGACCTTGGGCTTCTTTTCAGGTTATGACTTGGTGAGGAGTCTGTCAGATCCCATAAGATCTGAAAAATTTTGAAGGCCCAAGAGAGCATCATAAACTCTGTGTTCCCCACTGTGTTTTGAGAAAATCTCTCTGATTGTCAGGGAATCAGAACCCATTAAAATAATCTTGTCCATGGGAAAGTGAGATAAAAGGAAGGGGGAAAGGTCTAGGTAGAGTCTGGGGTGGGTTTCTGAGCTTTTACTTCAGGTCATTAAGCCTTCAGGACCACAGCTCCTGAACCATCCCAAAGGGACGTGCTTTGAGAGCCTATGGAAGCTAGGTCCCTTTGCTCATTTCCTTGAGAAGCAGGTTCGTTCAGCTGCCTCCATTCCAGCTGTACTGACATCATCTGCCTGGTAATAATGGCCAAAGCTAGTCAATGAGCCTCCTTCTGGGACATTCCTGCCCCAATTCTAACTAGCAACTAAGCTAGATAAGCAAGAGTGAGTGGGGCGGGTGCTGGCAGAGAATGAAAAATAAGACTGCATGAAGAAAGGGGAAACGTATAGTGATTGTTAGTTACTATCTGCCAGGCAATGCCAGCCCTTTGTCTAAGTTATTAAATTTAATCCAAATGGCAACTTGTGATATCGTTATCCTTATTTCAGAAGGGGAAACGGTATCCCAGAGGGGAGAGGCCATGCCCAAGATCACAGACTGAGCAGTGGGGGACAAAGTAAAACGTAGGATCCTGAAGGGGAAAAGAAGACTGAACAAAAAGAGAAAAACTTCCACTGAAGGAAAGCACGGGTGGAGCCACACCCCTGGCCCGAGGGGTTGGCGTGAAAGTCATTCTAACCCGAATCACAAGATGGGATAATGTTACGGTAGCCCCAGGTAGCCACAGCCCTGCAGCCATTCAAGGCACAAGACAGGAAACTCTCCAGCCTGGCTGTTCCCCTGACTCCAGGCTGTTCAGGCCCCTCCTGGAGCTCTGGGTCACATTTTGGGGCCTGACTTTTTTGTTTTGTTTTGTTTTGTTTTTGAGACCGGAGTTTTGTTCTGTCATCCAGGCTGGAGTGTAGTGGCGTGACCTTGACTCACTGACACAGCCACCTCCCAGGTTCAAGTGATTCTCCTGCCTCAGCCTCCCCAGTAGCTGGGATTACAGGCACGCACCACCATGCTCAGCTTATTATTATTATTGTTATTGTTATTGTTGTTATTATTATTATTATTATATTATTTGTATTCTTAGTAGAGACGGGGTTTCACCATCTTGGCCAGGCTGGTCTCGAACTCCTGACCTCAGGTGATCTGCCCAACTCAGTCTCCCAAAGTGCTGGGATTACAGGCGTGAGCCACCATGCCCAGCTAGGCCTGCCCTTTATAAGAGGAGGGGTTTCAGGATAAGGGGCCCTCCAGAAACCATGTCCTGGGAGAAACTGCAAAGAGAGTGAAGTGTTCTAGGGAAGGGGAGGTGTTCAAGTCTCTGAAGGGCTGGCCTGGAGGAGGGTGCAGAGCGGCAGTGGGCACCAGTGGGCAGAATGAGGCCTACAGGCTGCTGATTTGAAAGGGCAGGTTTTAATTCAACACGGAAACTTCCCAATAGTTAATGGGCTGCCGCCAAGGACAGCAAAAGTACCCGCTGTGGAAGAGACTGGATGGACGTCACCAGGAGAATGATGGGGGCGTGGGGTGCAGGTTGTGGGCTGTGCTCCCCAAACAGGCACCTGTCCTTGGTCACAGGAGCATCTCTGTGTCCAGGACATCTCTCTGGCCCTGTCCTTGGTATGCTGTTGACTCCTGTCCGATTTCCCTCAAGAGAGTGCGCAGATAGTTTTGTTTTTATTTTTAGATTGAGGAAAAATGCATAGAGTAGAAGTATGATTTATGTTTTATCACTTATGTGGCTCATTTATGTCTTTCTTAAAGTTCCAGCACGTGTGCAGCAGCTACGGAAGTTTTCTCTGAGAATGGAGAAAGGTACAGGCCCTCAGAGGAGAGCATATGCCAACAGAGGAGCAGCAGATTATCAGGGAAGAAAGTTCTGCCCAGATGATCACTCAATACCTTCCAACCCTGAGAGTCCATGAAATCCCAGCAGAGGAGGGAGTGCAGCCTCCTGCCTGGGCCTGGATTCTATGTCCAGCATCCATGCAGGGCCACAGGAATTTCAAAGAGCCCTCCACTTGCTGCCGCCCTGGGCATAGAGGCAATGGTCGCCTCATTCAAACACTTGCCTGACCAATCTCTTCACAACCCTAAGGATACTCCTTAGAGAAAGATGTCCACTTTTGCCTGCCTCTTTGATGGGCCCAAGCTCCAAGGGAGTTCAGAGAAGATGCAGGCAGGAGATGGCTGGAATGTCGTGCCCTAACTAGCCACTGCTAGACCTTATTCAGGCTTCTGAACAGAGACAAGACCTTAAGGCAGAAGGCATCTGGGTGCCATGACCCCTGATCTTAGCATAGAAGTCAAAGCCTGCCTCTAGAGTCACCTGCCTTACCAGGGCCTGAAAGAGGGAGATCATTCCTGCCTCTCCTTCAAGGCCAAGGCAATGCAGGCTGTTCTGTCTTCCCAGAATGGTTGCAGTCCTGTCTCTCCTCAGAAACAAGGGATGAGGGAGGGGCTGGCCCTTTATGGATCTCTGGGATGGGGACATTTCCTTATCACAGCATGGGGACAGCATGGGTTACCCATTGCTTCCATCTGCTTGGCAGAATCTGGTACATTCCCCTCACCCCAGAGAAAGGGTTTTCTTAAGACCACAGAGGGTGGTTCTAGGTGGGCAGGAGGAAGGGGCACAGGAAGGTGAAGACAGTAACCTCAGGAGATGCTGCGAGGCTTTTCTGAGTGAACACTTCCAAGCCTGCGGCTGCTCCAGGCTCAGGTGCCAAGTCCTGCTGAGAGATGTCCTGGGTCCTCTGGGACTGCAGGGGAGGCCCAGAGCCAGAGGAAAGGGGAAGAGGGAGGAAGGGAAGGAGAGACAGAGACAGGAAGAGAGGGAGAGAGAAAAAGTAGGAGAGAGACACACACACACACACAAAGTCCATAAATAGCCCAGCTTTTAAAGTCCCACATCTGTAGGATTTGTGGATTAGGTCAGGGAGTAGCCACTCTGTGGGGTGAGCTAGGGAGGGACTGCCCTTCTGAGCTACTTAAGGGAGGGAGGCCCACAGTCAGTCCCAGTGCCCTTCCCCCATGCCCTGCCCACTCTCATTCAGAGATGTTGGAGCCATACCTTTTAGACTCTGGCTCCAGGGCTTCCCTGGATGTCTCTGGCTTACGCTATGGTTCAATCCTGCAGTTTGGATTACAGCCCCCTTTAAACATTGAAACTTGGGTTTGGCAAATGGGAAGAGTTGAAGTTCCCACTGTTTTCCCCTTGGCCCAGGTGAGGCCCAACAATATATGAGGAGGCTGCTAGGAATTCCGGATGACACAGGCATCTTCAGGATACCCCCCACAAAGCTGGTTTCGGGATCAGGGATTCTAGTCACCATCAGCAATAGCCCCATGACTGCCCAGCACCTTCCAGTTGAGAAAGTGCTTTTATATTCATTATTTCACTCCACCTTCCCAACTACCCTATGGAATGACAATTTTGGTCCTCCAAAACGGGCTAAGCAATGAGGCTCAGAAAGGGGAAGTTACTCACCCAAGGACCCAGTCAATCCTTGTCTATGGCACCTCCCCATCTCCCAAATCTTCAAAGGCCCCTAAATGCCAAGGGAGCCTGTAAGCCAGTTCTGAATGGTCCATAGCTCCAGGGTGAGCTCCTGGACCATAGTTCTGTCCAGCAGTAGACTATATTTCTTGGGGCTGAGCAGGGCTGGGAGGTGGAGCAGATTCTACCTTTTAGTAAGACCCATCTTCTAGGAGTTCCAGCTATCACCAGCAGGTGGGGCACACCCTACACCAGGCTACACTGAGACACTCCAGAGCTCTAGACCCCACTTCCCAGGGCTCATCTTCCCCTTCTCTTCTGGAGACTCACTCTTTCAGTAGCCTCTGCATCCCACCTCACCCACAGCCACGCCAAGCCTGGCCAGCCCACATCAGGACTGATTAGAGGCCACGCTGAAGGGCAGAAGGGGGTGCTGTTCACTGGCTCACTAGACCAGCCCCCACCACCCAGTCCAGGGTCTTGCTTGTGCCAGAGGCAAACAGAGGCCCTTCATGGATGCAGAGGTCTGCCATTCTTCCACGGCGCCAGCCTTAAAGGCCCCCAAAGCATCCCTAATTCTGTGACTCACCAACCAGAAAGCCACCCCAGTAGCTCTCTCTGGACTTACGCCTTACTAGACAAAGCCGTCTGTTATCTGGCAGGTTCAGGCCATGGGTAGCACTGATCCAATAAAATGCTCTGCTAATTAGATCATGGGTGCATCACCAATTTTCAAAGCATTAGAAGGCAGTACACATACAATTGACTCTCTACCTGGTCTTTATGTGATTTGGTCTTGCTCCTAGGCAGCTGTGATTTAATAGCAAATACAATAGCCTGGGTCACAAGAAAATTGGGTTCTGGCTCCTCTTCCATCAGCTATGACACTGAATAAGTCCTTCCTCTTTCTGGGTCTCAGTGCCCCTATCTGTAAAATGAAGGTTCTGATCAGGTTCCCAGGGCCCTTTCAACTTTTATTTTATTTAGGAAAGGGGAATTTTATTTGTTAAAGAAAAGTCATCTGTGAATGCCTCTAGTTAAATTAGTATGCTTGACTTGAACACTTTGGATTGAAACATACTTTATTTATCCTGATTTGAAGTTAACCTCCTCTGTGGAAAAGTCTGGAACTCTCAAATGAAACAATAACTCACACTGCACACCAAGGTACTCTGCTAGTCCCTCTATGTGTGTTATCTTGTTTAATCCTTACAACATCCCCATGAAGTAGGTGCTTTTATTATCTCTACCCAACAAGTCTCAGAGAGGTTAAGTAACAAGCCCAAAGTCATCCAGCTAGCAGGCAGTGGAGCCGGAATTCAAACCCAGGCAGTGTAAGTATACACCACAATTGGATTTCAGACCAGTAAGCAATAGCTTCAGGGAGAAAACACCTAAGTATAAACTGGGGTAAATATCGCCAAGATTTAGCAAGGGCTAAAAATATGGACTTGAGAGTCTAAATGCAGGGCTTCCCCAAATCCTAACTTCATCTCTTCTTCAATCGAGAAAACACCCCACGCTTTCCACTCAGAAAGGCAGGTCATGTGAGATCCTTTTCTGAAACTTCAGAAGCAGGTCTGATTTCTGTGACGGGCCCATTCCCCTCCAGTGGGCTCCGAAGCCCCTTTCAGGAGGGACCACTCCCCAATCCGTGTTTTCACAATAGGCACAACAGGGTCTAGTTCTGGATAGAGCTATTGGGATTCTCAAAATGTAGTGCACATGAAAAGCCTCTGCAGCACTTGTCCAAATGCCGATGCCAGCACTGAGTCCAAATATCTGATTCAGTAGGTCTGGGCTGGGGCCCTGAAACCTGCATTTCTAACCAGCACCCCTTCCCCATTATACTCGGGCTGATGGAAGGGAAGTACACCAAGCTTCCAGGAGTCTTGAGTTTTTCATGTTTTAAGTTGGTCTCCAGGACCCAGGATTCCAAGATTTAGTGAATTCATCTCCCTCAGCCTAACCTACCACCCTCTCCATCCCCACGAGCCCCTAAGCAGCAATGGGGGAAGCATACTGGTGTGGAGGATGAGTATAAGTCAGGACGTAGCAACCCAATGCCTCTTTACCCAAGGTCCCTGTTGAGGGGTTCAGGGTGACACCTACCTCATTGGCTTTCTCAGGGGTGCCCTTGGGAGAAGGGGAGGCAGGGGAGGAGGGCAGCCTGCGCTCCCGTTCCCAGTCTCGATCCCGGTGGATGAGTTTGCTGTTGGGCTCCTTCAGGGTCCTCTTGAGCTCATTGATGCTGGCCTGGTGCTTCAGCAAGACGTCCTCTGGCTTGTCTAAGAACTAGGGATAGATGGAGAGGGTGGTGGTGTTAGGGGAACAGCTCCAAGTGGGGGATGCAGGGTGCAGGGATGATGGCAGCAGTCACCATCACCACCCTCCACCAGCAACGTGTTTCCCACTCTGACCTGTGTCGCCCTCATGGCAGCCCCAGAGGCCAACCAGGGCAAGGAGAACCACCCCAACAGGTGCACATCCCAAGGCACAGAGCACTGAAGATGAAAAAGAGGAGATGTCTAGTCAAGCCACCTTTGCTTCTCCCTTGCCTGGCTCTACAGCCTTCAAACAGCCAAACTCTACCCAAAGCCCACAGGTCTGGGTGAGTTCCTTTTGGTGCTACAAGCCCAGTCTTAGTCACAGAGGTGACTTCCCTCTGGTTACAACCACGGCATAGCAGGCAGCAACTGCCAGAGAGCTATAATAACTCACTAATCCTGTTCACTGGGCTGCTCTGGCTCATTGAGGGGCCTCCTACATCCCTCCTGGATCCCAGTGTCCACTTTCTGGCCAAGACTTGGGCCACTATATTTAGCAGGATGTCCAGTCTGGGCCCCTCCTAGCCCAACATGCACAACTGCTCAGGCCCTGGGGAGGCCCACAGTAGAGATCCTCCTCAAGCCAGGGACATCCAGAAGAATGGCCAAGCTGCCACACTAGAGACCAGGGGCAGTCTAGTCTCCTCTGTGATGGGCCACTACCTTCTCCAACCACCCTGGACCTTCCAGATAACTTTCAGGTACTGACTCACCAATAGCAGACAGGGTGAGATATAGCCAGATAGAGAAACTAGAATGCTTTGGAGTGTTCGGGAAGATTAGGAGAATTAGAGACCAGGAAGAAGAATGGTAAGTCTCATGGCTGGACACAAGAATTGAGCCAGGTATAGTTGGAGTTGTAGGATTCTAACTATACAGGTAGTGTTCCCCATTAAACTACCAAGTCTGTGCTCAAGTTAGTGCAGCATGACAGAGTCATCTCCTTAGGTCAAGGGAGGACGAGCTTTGCGCAGGAGCTGGCAGGGACCTGCCAAAGCTGTTTATCTGACTACTTCTGGGGCAAAGCGGTGGTTGGCAGCCCAAGGACCCTTATCTGTAAGACTGTTTAAAAATTCATGTTAACTCAATTCAGGACAAGAAATGGACAATCTCAGCTTATTAAAGTCAGATCAGGTAATTCTAGAAGAACCACTGGAAGGTAAGCTTACCCTTGGACAAAGCTAGAATCTTCCCCTGGGCTCATCTCTGGTACCCAAGGATCCACTACGGCTGACTCCTAAGCTACCTCAGGAAGGAAATCAATCCCAGTGAGGCTCCTGCTTTCCCTCCAGACATCTGTCTGTTCCTCAGGCATCCCTTCCCAAGCTGAGATGCCCTCGGGACAATGGCTGTCTGAGAAGTCAAACCTGATGGCGTTTGCACAGGGAGGGGGTTTGGGCTGCAATGGGTAGTGAGTCCCAACCTGAGATGTGGCTTGTCATCTTCCATTCCAAACCTGCCCCACTGCCTCCATGAGTGTGTCATGTCCTTGAAGGCTACAGGAAGCAGTGGGATCCTGGGATCCTGGGATCCTTAAAGGTTAAGGGCATTGGAGAAACCTAGTCTGAATGCTTTGCTGTGCAGACAGGGGACTGGGGCCTGAGGGGAATTTCCCAAGACCTTCAAAGAGTTGGTGGCAGAAGTGGGGTTGAAACCCAGATCTCAGGACTCCAAGGTAAGGCTCTTCTTATGTCCCAGTTTCTGGCCCTTTCCCTAGGCAGCCCAAGAATAAACCCACTTCTCTTGCAGTTAAAGTTCAGATGAAGAGTTAGTGACTGTGTGAGAGGCAAGAAGTGGTTAACATGGGAGGAATAATTTGGGGGAAGCAACAAATGGGAAGAAGACAAGGAAAGGAAGAGAAGAGGAGGAGGTTTTTGCCAGAGTTGAGCAGTAGTCAACCCTGCCTAGGGGAGGTGTCGGACTGGAGTTGGGGCAGATGCAGATGTGCTCTGAGATGCCTCCCTCCCCCCTCAAATCCCCACGCCCACAACTGGCTGCCAAAAGATACAAAAAGAAGCTTGGGGTGAGGACACAGGGGACACAGATGAGATGGAGGCGAGACCAAACAGTGCTGTCGAGGAGGAGATGAATCTAGGGAAGGGGTGGGTGGGGGGAGATGAGCTATATGAAAGCATAGAATGGCCCGGAAGAGCTGGTGGTGCAGGTGGGATGGTCAGCAGGTGAGCTGCAAGTATGGAGGACCGGGTGAGCTAGGGAGAGGGTGGGAGGGCTGAGGAAGGAGGGAGAGATGGCCAATTGGCTAGGAGAGTCTAAGAAGGGAGCTAGAGAGATAAGCTTAGTGGGTGGTGGAGTGGCGAGCAAGGGCGGCTGCAGAGGGCGATGGCTGGGGACCAGAGACGAAGTTGAAGCTGAGATGGTGCCAGGGAAGTGAGCCTGGGATGGACTGTGGGACGGTGACAAATGAGCTGGGGATAGGAAAGGCTGGGTAGGGAGGGACAGGTCCCATGCAGTACCTCCTGCTTGTGTCTCGGCGTGGTTTCCTGCTCCGGCTAGTGGGATGTGGTAGGAGGGAAAGAAAGCAGCAGGGTCAGTAGAGCAGATGGATTAGAGATATCACGATGGGCTTGGTCCAGCAAGGAGCCCAGAGCACTCACACTCGACCAAGTGGAGGCCAGGGCAGCTGGGTGGGCCACCAGCAGGGCAGTGAGATAATCAGAAGAAGGTGCAGGCGTGAAGCAGGGCGCTGTCCCAGGAAGGCAGAGAAGGTAACTAGAGGCCAAGTGGGCAGAACCATACTGGGCAGGTGGGATAGGAGAAAGGGGTTTCCTGTCTCTTGCTGTCAGTGGGAGCATGTTCAAGACCCTGTGCTCACAAGGGAGATGGAAAGAAACCTGCTGAACAACTACACCAAGAAGAAGCTCTCCCTGGCCTGTGTGTGCACACACCTGTGTGTGTGCATGTTGTTTACACATCAGTGTGCATGGATCTAAGGGTGACGAGTGCATACATATGTTATTAAATGCGTGTGAGGCTAAGGTCATGCACTCCTGCATGAGCATGTACACACAGATACTGGAAGTGTGTGTGTGCACCTGATTGGGGCATGGGGAAGTAGTAAGGGGACACACTTGAACTTCACACTCCTGAGAGCTGTTGGTGACACCCAGTCATGCTCTGAGGAGGAAGAGAGCAGTGCAGATCCAGATCCCAGTCAAAGGGGCAAATTAAGAGTGTGCAAAAGGAGGCCTGAGTCCTCTAAGGGACAGAGTGGCCCTCTGGAAAAGTAGGGCAAAGCTGGGGAGAGTACAGGGCAGGCAGCATGCCCACCCCCATGCCCACCCCCATGCCCACCCCATCCCAGCAAGGGCCAGGTATTGAGAGATGACCCAAAAGCAAGGCCCTGTCCATGGTGGACTCCATAGCAAGGGTGCTTGGCAACAGCTGGGGGCATATGAAGGCCAAGGTCAAGGGTAGACCTCAGGTCAGCCTCCTGATCCCCAGGGCAGAGGGTACGAGAAAGCCAGGCTCCTACCTTTAGCTCCTTGATCTTGGTCGGAGTCCTGACCTCTCCCTCCTCGGCCTCTGACCGTCGCCCCCCAGACTCGCCATCCTCCTCCCGCTTGTCACCGTCAGGCCCTGCATCGTGGTTCTCGCTGACAGAGGCTGGGCGGGAGAACTCTGCTGAAGTGGGTGGAGATAGCCGGGCAACCATGTGAGACCCTCCCGGAGAACAGAGAACCAGCCCGGCCCTGCCCAACTGCGCCTGGAGAGGAGCCAACTCTTCCACACCTCTCACCCGTTGCCCAGAGGGTGAAGTAGACTTCTGGTCACATGGCCGGTAAGTGGCAGACCTGCCTCCCAGCCCAGGACTCCTTCCTGGTTTCTACAGCACTAGAACCTGGGTTCAAATCTCAAATCCATCTCTTCTTGACTGCATGACCTTGGGTAAATTACACAATATTTCTGGGTCTTGGTTTCCTCATCTAGAAGCAGTGCCTGCTTTAGAAAGAGGAGGTGAGGAATGAAAAAGCTAATGTATATAAGTATTTATGGAAGAGTGGCTGGCACAGAGTGAGCCTTCCATCAATGGCAGCCCATAAATGTTGCTGTTTTGGTTGTGGTGGTTGTGGTTGAATACTCACCTGATCATCATTTAGCAACACACAAATATGGTGAGATTAGCTTTACTAGTGAAAGCTAAAGTCTTAAGTTTGCAACTAACTTACCTTCTTTATAAATTAGGGAGAATTCAGGGAGATCCCTGCAATAACACCTTTCTCACTCACTGGTATTCCAAAATGCTTTTCTGAATAGGAAAGGAAGGGGTGGAACTAGACTTCGCATCAGGCATTGGGCATAATCCGACTATGCCCATAGATTGTGTCTTGGTGGAAAATAGGCTGAAAAACATGGGTTTAAAATAACCAGAGCTCAGATTATCCTTGGGGTTGGCCTAGATTTTAAAAAGAGGATAATTATCCTTTCTATTCATATACACTCACTTTGCAAAGTACGCATTTATGCATATATTTCATTTGATTTACACAATACCCTATGTTGATGGCTGGAATGGGACTGACTTATCCCCATTTTACAGAGGATGACTGGAGACGTCAAGGGGGGAAATATCCCACTGGTGACCTTTTGGTGAGTTGGGATAGGGACCGAGGCCTCCTGGCTTAGACTCCATGCTTCTGTTCCTCTCTGATGAGCTTCACCAGCTCCAGGCTAACCTCTGCTGCCTGCCAGAATCTGGGCTTCGTTTGGCCCCTGATATAGTAATGGAAGCTACAGGGGAGGGACCTTTCCCTTTGCATAAACCCGAGTTTTCTGTCCTCTGTCTACCCAAGGAGAAGAAGGAGCTTCTTCAGCCTCAGACAAACCCTAGCAGAACTACACATCTTTCAAACATGCACAGGAGTCCTGAGACAGGTCTCACTTTCGTATACCAGAAAAAGTATCAGACTTTCTTGATCACCTGGCAAACTCCTAGGTATCCTTCAATGCCTAGGTATCCTTCAAAACCCTGCCCAGTTAGCACCCTTTCTGCAGAGCCCTTTCTGCCCCTTCTAAACTTAATTCCTCCCTCCTCACAGCTGCTCTACATTCTACACATGCTTCTCCCATTGCTTGAACCACAACAAATGCTTACAAACCTGCTATTCTACGAGCTCCTCAAAGGGAAGGGCCAAACCTATTCACTCTAAATACTATACCCAGGACCCAATACAAGGCCTGACACACATATAATACTCAGAAAATATAAGTAGAACTAACGTGCCTGGAGGCCTGCCCCAAGGTGTTCTGGGAGCATCTACGGCTTCCCCACCCAAGTCCCTACTTCCCTTTTTTTTTTTTTTTGGAGATGGAGTCTCACTCTATCACCAGGCTAGAGTGCAGTGGTACAATCTTGGCTCACTGCAACTTCTGCCTCCCAGGTTCAAGTGATTCTCCTGCCTCAGCCTCCCGAGTAGCTGAGACTACAGGCGCCTGCCACCATACCCAGCTAATCTTTGTATTTTTAGTACAGATGGGGTTTCACCATGTTGGCCTGGACGGTCTTGATCTCTTGACCTCATGATCCACCCCCCTTGGCCTCCCGAAGTGTTGGGATTACAGGAGTGAGCCACTGTGCCTGGCCTTTTTTTTTTTTTGAGATGGAGTCTCGTTTTGTTGCCCAGGCTGGAGTGCAATAGTGTGATCTCAGCTCACTGCAACCTTCTCCTCTGGGGTCCAAGCAATTCTCCTATTTCAGCCTCCTGAGTAGCTGAGATTACAGGCACATGCCACCACGCCCGGCTAATTTTTGTATTTTTAGTAGAGACGGGGTTTCGTCATATTGGTTAGGCTGGTCTCGAACTCCTGACCTCAGGTGATCTGCCCACCTTGGCCTCCCAAAGTGCTGGGATTACAGGCATGAGTCACCATGCTCAGCTCCCACTTCCCACCTTTAAGCCACTCTCTACAAACCTAAAAACAATAAAAACGGGTACAATTTCTTAAGGTGCTACTATATGCCACAGAATATTTTCTAGGCATGATCTCATTTAGTTTTCCCTAGAACACAGCAAAATAGGTACTATTTATTTTGTAGAAGAGGAAACAGGCTCAGGGAGTTACATAAGTTGCTTAAGGTCACCCATCCATTCATTCAGATATTTATGAACCACTTCTGGTGTTCAGAGAATAGCCCACAGTGACTGTCAAGGCCAAGATTTGAACTTAGATCTACATAATTCTGAATTTCCCCAGTGTCCCATGTGACTTCTGAACATCACCTACAAACTCGAGTGTGTACATCCTGGGGAGAGACTTGGGCCCTGAAGGATGCTGATTTAGTAGGTTTGGGGCAGAACCTGGGAATTTTTGTGTTTAACAATCTCACAGGCGACTCTGGTGAGACATGGTTTGTGCACCACATTTTAAGCCCTGTCTGCTTGCTACAGGACTATATAGGGCCAGTTTTCATTGATGTTAAGGGCACCCATCAGCCCAACAGAAATGGAGACAGTGGAGAGTGCCATGTGGTTAGATTGTCAATCAGCCCAGAGCCCAGTAAAACCAAAAGAATGACCAAGAACGATGCCCTGGCCTCCCAGCAGATAAGGCATCATCAGCTCCACACTGCAGTCACAAGACACCATTCCCCTAGTATGATGATGACCGGTGGATTGCTAAGCTTCTTGGGTAGGTGGCCCAAACCATATGGCTGAACCTGGGACCCCAAAAGACCACAACTCAGGGAAGTTGTGGGAAATCCAGAGAGTGGTAGTGTCACATCTCAAGTGGAAGTGAGCTCTAGGTTGGGACTAAGCCACCAAGAGCTGCCCAGGGACAGCACTGGTTTTGAGGGGCCCAGCCTGGTGCAGATGAACTTGGGATGCGTCTACCATTTTCCTGTTCATTCTGCAGAACCCGGGATACCCACTCCCCCACTTCCCTCTAAAGACCATTCCCCCCAGCCCTCCAGTTTGGGCCATACCTCCATCAAGGCTGCGGGACATGGTGTACCGTTTGCTGGAAGAACGCTCAAAGAAGGGTGCAGGCCGGTCAATGAGGGCGCTGGCCTGGCGGGTCTGTGCCTGGGTCCTCCCACTGTACCGGAACTTGGAGCCCATCACCAGGAAGCCCTTGGGTGGGGGCTCAGGGGACACCAGCCTGCAGCAGAGGGATGCAGGGGAGGGGGAATCAAACCTGTACTGCCAGGCCCAAGGTTAGACCACAGCTGGCCTTTCATCCCACTAACCCACCAACTACGACAATTCAAAGTGGCCCAGGAAGGCAGGGACTTGGGGAAAGGGAGGAGGACATTCCTAGCGTTCTCACTAACTCCTCCCCCGCTCCCCTCCATACACATGGTCTCTGCCCCATCCCCATTACCCCATCCAAGGTCAGGCTCACCGGAAGAATGTGTGATGCTCGATGCAGACCTTCCATAGTCTCTTGGCTGACCGGTGGTTTGGGAGTTTAAAGCCAATTGTGCTCTCAAATTGCTCATACTGAAAACCAAGAAGGGCAGGTTAGAGGCAGGGCCTGAGCTCACTCTTGCAACTAGACCATTCTTTGTGTTTTTTATTTTATCTGTTTAATGTTTTCTTGAGACACGGGGTCTCGATCATTTGCCCAGGGTGGAGTGCGGTGGCGCAATCATAGCTCACTGTAACCTTGAACTCAAGAGATCCTCCTGCTCAGCCTCCCAAGTAGCTGGGACTACAGTCAGACACCACCACACCGGCTAATTTTTTGTAGAGAATGGGTCTCACTATGTTGCCTAGGCTGGTCTCCAACTCCTGGGCTCAAGCAATCCTCCCACCTCAGCCTCCCAAAATGCTGGGATTATAGATGTGAGTCATCCTTTCTGAACTCTTCTCAGGCATCTGCGACTTTGGCCTGTTCATTCACTGAATCAATAAGGATGACAGAGCCCTTACTCTGTGATGGGTCCAGTGCTAAACACTAGAGATACATGGAGATCAAGGCAGAAGATTCTAGTGAGGGTAGGGGGGCCTCTAATAATAAATAAGCAAACAAGATAATTGCAGACACTGATCAGGGCTACAAGGGGAATGAAGGGAGGTATGTGGTATGGCAGAACTGGGAAGGCATGGGGGCTACTGCCATCTAAGGAAGAGCAGGGGATCCCCTCTAGACCTAGATTTAGGTGATCTTGAGCTGACATTTGAAGAATGGGAAGGAACCAGCTATATGAGAAGCGAGACGGGGAGACACTTTCAGGTAGAGGAAACATCAAATGCGAAGCACCCAGTCAGGAAAGACCTTGACTTATTCAAAGATCTCAAGGCCAAAGAGGCTAAAGCACCTTGGGCGTGGGGCAGTGTGGCAAGGGATAAGTGGGAGAGATAGGTGGCCATGGAAGGAGTTTGGAGTTTAGCTCAAGAGTTAAAGAGAGTTCCTGAAAGGTGTAAGCAAGGGTGTGGGTGGGAAGGGGGAGTGGGCTTGCCATGATCTGATTTAAGGGACTTTTTAAGATCTCTCTGGCAGTTATGAGGAAAATGGCCTGATGAGTACCAGAGGCGAGGGAGGGCAGAGGGCAGTGAGAAGGCCCTCACAGGCATAGGCGAAAGATGGGGGCTGCTGGAGGCAGGCGTGACAGAGAGGAAGAGAAGCAGATGTTACGACCAAATGGGCTTTTTGATGGGTGAGATGTGGGGAATTGAAGGAAAAGAGTTGCAGACATATACATGTTTGCATTTGTGTGTGTTGTGTGTATAGTCCAGTCTGTGTATCTTAGAATGTGTATAAACTTCCATACTTACAACATGTAAGTAAATACATGAACTTTACACAGACATGTATTCATTTATCTGTGTGACCTGAATGTATGTGGTTATACTTCTTCTTCTGTTTTTATTTTTCCCTCCCTTTTTTTTTTTTGAGACAGAGTCTTGCTCGCCCAGGCTGGAGTACAGCGCCAGCTAATTTTGTATTTTTAGTAGAGATGGGGTTTCACCATGTTGGCCAGGCTGGTCTCGAACTTCTGACCTCATGTGATCCACCCACCTCGACCTTCTAAAGTGCTGGGATTACAGGCGTGAGCCACTGCACCTGGCCGTATGTGGTGATACTTTTATTTTTTATTTTTATTTATTCATTTATTTTTTGAGACAGAGTCTCACTCTGTCACCCAGGCTGGAGTGCAGTGGCGCGATCTCAGCCCACTGCAAGCTCTGCCTCCCGGGTTCACGCCATTCTCCTGCCTCAGCCTCCCGAGTAGCTGGGACTACAGGCGCCCGCCAGCACGCCCAGCTAATTTTTTTTTATTTTTTAGTAGAGATGGGGTTTCACCATGTTAACCAGGGTGGTCTTGATCTCCTGACCTTGTGATCCACCCATCTCGGCCTCCCAAAGTGTTGGGATTACAGGCATGAGCCACCACACCCGGCCAGTTATAATTTTATTTAGGCTCTTCTCTCTCTCTCACTCTCTCTCTCTCTCCGTGTGTGTATGTGTGTGTGTGTGTGTGTGTTGGCAGCCCAGGCTCGGCTGCCGGGGTTCACTCCTTTCTAGTTGATTCTGGTGAGGAGGAGGGTTTCCCAAGGCAGGCTCACCTCCCCAGGCCGGATCTTGATATAGAAGTTACTCCTTTTGTAGGAGATCTTGAGGATCTTGGGCCAGGCAAAACGGTTGATTCTCAGCCGGTCCCGGTAGATAAGCAGGCCATTGGCACAGACACCTAACATAATGTCGATGCCCTCAGAGTCCTGCATGAGAAGAGACCATGGAATGGAAGGCCCGGGGTCCATGCCTGGGGACAGCCTGCCACCCACCCCGAACACACCGCCCTGTGCGCTGAATGTAATGAGCTCTCAGGAGCAGGGTTAGAGCCTCCATGCTGGAGTCCCACTGACCAATCCCTCCCATTGTCATTCAGTCATTCACTCTTCCATTTAGGTATTTATTCACCCACTCACTTGTCTGATCATTTGCTCTGTCAATCACTCAATCATACATTCACCCAGCAAATTTTAGCGGCACACACTTGGTGCCAGGCTATGTGCCAGGTGCTAGGAATACAGAAATAAACTAAGGCCTACGTCTTTCCCTCACAATGCTCCCAATCTAGCGGGGGCTCAAACAGGTTCATAAATAAAATACATGGAGAAAAGGATACAGATCATGAGAAAATAAAAGGTTATGGAACTTCGAGGAATGAGAATGAGAACAGAAAAGGTTTCAAGTTGGAGGTAACACAGGGTCTGGCACACCAAGCCCTAGGGAAAAGCCTGACAGTTCTTTGGGGGCACCACCCAGACACTAGGGGAACCCAGGAAGCCGGTGGTACCTTGGCATGGTGCAGGTCTACTCCATACATGGAAAGCTTCTTGGCGTTCTCTAAGAAGTGGATTTCTGCTTCTCCTGGGGTCATCCCCCTTAGGGAAAGAAAGTGATCACAGGTGACCAAGGGAAAGGCCCAGGCTTGAGTCCTGCTGGCCAAAGGTGGCCACCATCAGAACCCATGATTCTACGAAGTCAAATATGCTGAGCCTCACCCTAATCCTTTCCCTCTGTCCTCAGAGCAGGAGGGTATACCCCAACTCCCACTTCAGCCCACCCAACCCCCATCTTCTGCCAAAGCTCAAGTCCAGTCTTGTTAGTCCAGGGAGCACACAAGGGCTGAGCTGGGAGTCAGGATTTTTGCCTCATTCTGCCACTGAATTGACTGTGAGCTATAAATTCTACTTTTCCATGACCGTAAAACCATTGTTAAGGACACTGTTCATTATAACCACCCAGGGGCTCCTAAATTATTACCCACATGGGATATTTCTTGCAGAATTCAGTATCAGAAGCCACTTAATCTCTCCTAAGGAACAGGTGCACATTCTCCTTTCCAAAAAGAAGAGTTGTGTAATTAATCAAGTTCCTTCTTTGCTTTCGCTGCCAGGAAACTTGGACTACATTTTATACTTAGCCAGAGCAAACATTTATTGAGTACTATGTGCTGGTTACTGTTCTAAGTACTTTACACGTATTAACTCACTGAATCCTCATAACAACTCTGTAAGATAGGTATTATTCTTCTTCTCATTTTACAGATGAGAAAACCGGCACAGAGACGTTAAGTAACTTGTCCAAGGCCACACTGCTATGAAGGAGAAGAGTCAGGATTTGTGTGACTTCAGAGTTTATGCTCCTAATCACTTCATTACAGGGCTTGTATATCCTCCAGGCCTCAGTTTCCTGTAACCTGTCTACTTCTGGGCTGCTGTGTGGGATACCTGGACATGAGATGTCAGTGTGCTTTAGGTCCAAAGAGATGTAGGCACAGCCGTTAGTATTTCTCCAGCCCACATCGATCTGAACATCGTTCTCTGAATTATTATGACTCTTGCAAATCCTAAGATGTCTTGCTATCTAGGACAGGGATGACAAATAGATGGCAGGCAGCCCACTACTCCCTGTTCCTATGCCCAGGTGGACATTGCTTACCTGGGTATTGTAAGGAATCAGTATCCTACTCAACACAACATCACAGCAGTCACTATTAACCAAGCAGAGTTAATTTGCGATTCTCAGAGACAGCATTTGCCACCCTTGACCTAGCATTCATCACACCCCAGCAGGCTCTTCCCCACGTACACGATCACTCCACATCTGGCCCTGGCCCTCCTCTCCAGATGACGCCCACAGAACAAGAGCCTCCTAATTCCCTCCATCCTCAATAGTAATGAGACAATATCACCATACTCCTTTCACTGGGTGCAGCACTTTACAGTTTATAATGCACCTTCACATTATTAATTATACTGAGTCCCCATAACAATCCTGGACTTACAGTCCTGAATACTTCCAGCTTAAAAGGACCCTACAAATCATTTCATTCCGAGGGTTCCTCTCTAGGGGAACCTGTACAGAAGCAATGGCGAAGTGGAGTATCTGGGTTGTTACAATGACTGAGAAGGTGTTATGGGCATTTACTGGGTCCCAGGGATGCTGAACATTCTGCACAATGAATTCTCCTGCCCCAAATGCCAATAGTTGAGAGACACTGATAATCTAACTTCGTGCATATGCAGGTGAAAAATTGGGCTTAGAGAGGTTAAATAACCAGCCTATAGTCACACTAGTTAATTATCATCCAACTGCTGGAACAAGGTGCTTTCCCCTGCACGATCAACTATTCAACTCCTTGATCCACAGACAGCAACACTAACAGCCAACATGCAGTGTGCCTTTAATATGTGCTATTTAGGCTTCCCAACAATCCTACAAGGTGGGTTTAACAGCATCCACCTTGAACAGATGAGGAAACCAAAGCATAGGAAGTGAAATGACCTTCCTGAGATCCCCTGGTTAGAAAGTGGCAGAGCCAGTATAGGAACCCTAGCAGGCTGGCTTTTGGGTCCAAACTTTTGAACTCTACACCAAGATCTAGACACCAGGACACTTACTTAGAGACACAGTAGCGATTATTATCTCTAGCTGGCAGATAAACTGATTCTCAGAGGCCAAGGACAGGGAACTATCATACCTATAGAGGAGTTTAAGAAACTTGGGTCCCAAAAGGTCATCAAGGCCACACAGCCAGTCACTACCATTCCCATTTACAGTGATGATTTGCTCTCAGATATACCTCAAGTTAGGGGCAGAGCCAGGTGGGGTACAAACAGCACAGTATGTGGCGGCCTAGGACATTCAGGCCTGCAAGGAAGGCTCCCACTGGCCAAGGAGCCACAGAAGGCCCTGGCTGGCACCCTCTTACCTGTATGTCTTATGCAGCTCCATGATCCTCTCCTCCAGCTCCCGGGTCTGGTTAGGGGCGAAGCGGAGCTCGCTGACATAGTTGCCCACATGCTCCTCAGCATCATAGTCGCCCAGCTCAGCTTGCACGGCGTAGGAGCCCAGTAGGGCATGCGTGACAAAGGAGCAGGGCAGCCGGCCCGTGATGATGTCTGCCCGCAGCTGCAGGCACAGGTAGTATCTGGAGATAGGGGAGAGCCAGCATGGGCACAGGGCCCTACTCCTCCCTAGATACCCCAAACACAGCTGTCCATCAGAGCCAAACAGAACACAGCTCAGCAGAAAAGGATGTTTGTAGACACTGGCGCTTCATATGTTGACAATCTGGGTATGTCTCGTGAGATGGTTTTGCAACATTTCACATGACTTTAAGCATTTTTGTGCATTTCTAAATTTGAGGGATTTGTTTTCTATTATGAGAGCATTTTCAATTTCTAACTCAATTTCAAGCTAAATAGGACTACTTTGCTGGTTTGGCCATTACAAAATGTCATGTAGTTTTAATTATACAAGTAATATACTGTATTCATATTGAGGAAAAAATGCACACTTTAGAGGTGACTCTAAATTTCCTCTTGATGACCAGAAATGCATGTGGTTTTGATTTATGGGTGTTTCTTACCTGTAAATGGCATCAAATGCTGCCTCTGATTCTAACAGCTCACTTTTTCATACCCAGGCCTTAGAGCCCTCCCATGTCAGCACATGTGACTCTGCCCCATTCATTTTAACTTCCACACTGTATTCCATTGCCTGGATGAACCTGCTTGCCAATGCTTTCCCAAAACTTTCTTATTTTGCTTCCAGCTCTAAGTAAATTGTCTGAAAACAAATTGGTTTAAAGGAACATTTCCAACTACCAGGCCATGATTTTTTATAACTTTTATGCACACTTGGACGATTTTACAATTTTAGAACCATTTAAAACCATTTTTACTGCTTTTTTGGTTACTATGTATTAAAAAAAAAAATGTTTCATTTTTAGCCAATGATGCCTCCCTGTCCATTTTTGTTATGTTTCACCATTTTTTTTCAATTGCTATTTCTTTTTTCTTTTTTTTTTTTTTGAGGTGGAGTCTCACTCTGTCACCCAGGCTGGAGTGCAGTGCCGCGATCTCAGCTCACTGCAACCTCCGCCTCCCAGGTTCAAGCGATTCTCCTGCCTCAGCCTCCTGAGTAGCTGGGATTACAGCCACGTGCCCCACGCCCAGCTAATTTTTGTATTTTTGGTGGAGACAGGGTTTTGCCATGTTGCCCAGACTGGTCTCAAACTCCTGGTCTCAAGCAATCTTCCTGCCATTGTCTCCCAAAGTGCTGGGATTACAGGTGTGAGCCACCACATCTGGCCTTTTTTCTTTTAAGTGCCTTTTACTTAATATAATTCTTACTACTCTGTGACATTATTTCACAGTCAGAACTGAAGTCCTGGCAAAAAGTATGTGCAACCTCAGTGTGCGCCCAGGGCCAAGGCATAGACTCAGAATCAGCAGCAGCTCAAACATCACTGGCACCAAGTACAGGCTTATGGGCATTCTATTCAAAAGTCTCAAAATTCAGAAATCACTGCCAAATATTCTGACCAATCTTTCATTTCAATCAATTTGTCATTTTGACCAGTTTATTTCGGGCCTAACTATTTTTGGCGAAATCAGCTGCTATAGCACCCATCTCCTAGGGCCATCTGTGCTAGGCAGGCCTAACTTCCTTCCTGGTGTCCCTGGAAGCACAGTGCCCAGGGTCTGGCACAAACAGGAGAAGTATCAGTAGGTAAGACCAGGGGGATGGAAGCTGTGCTGGCCTAACCCACACAGTCCACTTGGGAATGGAGTTTCAGATCTTGATGCTGCCACATTAGCCCGCACCTGACCTCAGGGCTCAGAACTAAGACTAATGACGCCAAAGCCCAGGCCTGATCTGTTCCAGGAATATCTGTCTTATCTCCCAAGGCCAGAGTCAGCAACTTGACCTTGGTCGATGGCCTGGCAAACAGGCAATCGACATGAAAGTGAAGGAGGGACCCAATGGGAGAGAGGGGCCGGCTTAGGAGCCCCTTCCCTGCTATAGGGGAACTCCAAGCCCATATCTTCTGTTGGGAGTAAAAGGCCCATCACCTGAATGACACAGCCCCAGGATATCATGAAGTAAGACTACCTCTTTGGAAAGGGCTTAAGAGAAGGGTTTCCCCGTTCTGGTTTCCAGAAATGGGTAACCCCACGGAAGCTCCCATTCCGAAGGATGCTTTGCACTCATTTCTCTGTGGGGAGTCCCAAGCCCCACTTGACTTCCATGTGCCTGACGTGTGCACAGAGTGGCATGCAGACCAAAGTCCCACGTTCAAAGGCATCCCATTCTACTCCCTCCATATTCCCAATGCTGCAGACCGGTAGCTCACCCAGCACAGCAGCCTTCACATGGGTTTGGTATGTCCCTTGCATAGATGGCCCATGCTATGTTGTTTTAAAGTTTGCATTTGTTGCCAACATTTAGAAACTGTGGTTTTTATTCTTTAATCTCTAGGTTCATTCCAACAATCAGGCCCAATTCCTACATGACAGTGATGGCCTGGAGGGGAACAGCAACTGTTTTAGGTGGCTTCTGTCCTCTCTACAAGGGGCCCCACAGCTCCCTGTGATACCTCTTCCTCTGACGTCAAGGGTCAGCTGCCACTGACCACTGTGCTTGCATCACTGTGTTTCTTACGATGAGTCTGCTTCCTGTGTTGATGCTGTCTGCCTGACCTTGGTAGGAGACTGCATTTGCAGCTGCTATCATATACTGCCTGTGTCCCCAGGGCCAGAGGCCCTCATCCGTAGTCCCACACAGCCAGCACACCTGCCTCTTCCTCCACAGCCCTCACCTTGTGATGTCTTCTGTCAGCTGGGCAGGATCAGGTGGGTAGAACTTGACTGTGAAGGCAAAATTCCAGGGGCTACCTGAGAGGAGATGGGAGAAAGATCAGCGAGGCCCTATCACCCCATTGGGTGGTCCAGATGCACCATCCTATGGGCAGTTTTTCAAAGTCTTCTCCTATCTGTAATCTCAGGACAATCCAATCAAGAAGGCTGGAACATTACTCCCATTTGACAGATTAGCAAACTGAGGCCCAGGTTAAGAGACTTGTGAGCTAGCAGTAGGAAGGTAGAAAGAAAGAAAGAAAACTGACGCTGCATGCCAGACACACTGTTAATTACTTTACAAACATTACTTCAGTAAACCTCACCACAACCCCATAAGTAAGTCCTATGATTAGCTCCATTTTATAGATGAAGACACTGAGGCCCAGGCAGTAAAGCAGTCAGCCCAAGGTCACCCTACTTGGAAGCGGCAATGCTGGGGTTCAAACCCAGGCCATCTGGCTCCTTGGTCTATACCCTAGTCTGGGTCATCGTATGTCAATGATAAGAAAAAAGTCTAAATAATACCACATTAAACAGATTTCTTAAATTTGGACTTGTCAAAGTCCTCGCCCTGCTACTGTGCATTGCAGCTCTCTGAAGGGAACATGCATTCAAGAATTTCCAAAAATGGTTTGATCTGTTGTATCCATTTTTTACAGAGCATCCTGCAAGATTAATGTTTCTCAGAACACACATTGGAAAACTCTGCCCTGTATCATGTTGACCCCATCTCAGATGACAGGATTGAATTATAAATAAGACCCAAAAGGCAAATATAATGAACTAAATGTAACAAAGGGATATTTTAGGGGGATAAATGCTAACCTCCACACTTAGATGTGAAAAACCAATGGTACACATCTAAGAAGATACACAGGAGAATAAAGTCTGAAGTTATAGCTGGAAGCAAACTCTGCAAGCCCAGAGAAGGGATAGCCACTTGAGAGGGGATGAAGGCAGGTAGGTATGAGGTACTGGACAAAATTAGCGAAAGTCTACATATCCACAACAATGGTCAGACCACCCCTGGGAATTTCAGGTTTCAGGCCCAAAACGGCCCCTGACAAAGTGAGAAAGTAAGGCCCATCCAGGGCAGGGCTGTGGTCATGGACCGCTGGAGGTCACATCGCCACTACCATCCTTGTCTCTGCGGTAACCACTATCTGCACCATACAGATGTCACATCTCAAACTTTTACTAGATGCCAGTCACTGCGCTTGCTAAGAACTTTATGCACATGTATGGGGTTCGATCTTCATAATCATCCTGAAGTTGACTTTCTTTTTTATAGATGAATTCTGAGAGGTTGAGTCACTCTCTCAGGGTCACTCAGCTAGTCAGTGGTAGAAAAAGGGGATCCTAACTCTGGCCATCTGGCCCCAGAGCCCAGGCACCTGACCACACCGACTCCTTGGAAAAATCAGCTTCAAGGAATAATAAGTCTCAGGAATTCCTACCTCGGGAATAATAATGGTAATAATCAATAATAATAATAAATAATAATAGCTAATGCATACTGGGTGCTACTGTGTGCAGGCACCATTCTACATGTAATACTCATTTAATCCTCACAACGTAAATATAAGTACTAGCATTACCCTGCTTTACAGAGGAGGAAACCGAGGCACAGTCAACACCAGAAGCAGATGGAGTTAACATTCAAATCCAAGCAGTCTGGCCTCAGTGTCTGTCTGCTTAACTATCACACCAATTGCCTCAGGGAAGCAAGAAGAAAACAGCTACTGAGCACCTATTATGTGCTTGGTGCTGTCCATACATATGTCATTGAACTGTCATCCCTACTTCATGAGGCAGGAACTACTAATCCACTGGCCAAGGAGAAGCAGGGACCCAGAGAGGTGGAGAGCTTGCCCCAGGTGCCCTACTTTGCCCTACCTTGCCCCAGGTGCACAGAGGTTTGGGAGGAGATACACCCAACTCTGAAGCCCAGGCCACAAGGACCAATGGCGCCACTTTCAGAAGGCTGAGGTGCTGACACAGAGGGCAAAAAATTGCTCTACTGGGGCACCAGAAGGTAGGATGAGGATGAATGGCTGCAAGTTACAGGGGTAGAGGCAGAGACTGTGGCTCTCCTGGATAAGGTGCTTGCTAGGGATCAAGACTATTACTCGATGACTTGGGATGGCTACAAGGAGTGACATCCACCAGGCCTGGGCTGTGCTGGCAGGGGCTGCAGGCCACCTTTGGGAGTGATGCTGAGACCTGACCATTTGGTCCAGCCGCCTGTCTTTCCCAAGCTCCTGGTCCTGACCAAACACCACACACTCGGCTGCCTGTATCTATCTGTTCCAATCTCTTTAGTCATGAGACATAGGCCTCCCAGCCAGGCTGGGGCTCCTGGGGGACAGCCTGAAGCCCAGGCGGAGGATCTGTCAGCCCCCCGAGGACTGCGCTCTGTCTGTGTGCCTGCCTCTTTGTCTCCAACTGACAGAACCTACAGGAAGAATTCCTCGAGCCCCCTCCTGCAGAGTCAGCTGGCATCCCAGGGCCCAGCTGCCCGCTGTCATGGCAACAGGCTCAGCTACAGCTTTCCAGCCAGGGGACCAGGGAGTTCAGGAGAGACCAACCACAGCCAAGCGGGAGGGGCCCTGGGTGGAGGCATCTCCACCTCGAGGCCCCAGGTCTCCAACTGCTCAGGCTGCCTTGCTGGGGCCCCCTACCTCCCACTTCTGCCATTTGGGAGCCGCCCCATCCCTCCCAACATGTTTTCTCTAGACCAGAAAGGACAGGTTGTTGGCCTGCTCATCTGCCTTCACCCCAGGCCTTGAAAATAGCACAGGATGGTGTTGGAAGACCAGGACTCAAGACCTGGCTCAGCCAACATTTGGCTCTGTGACCTTAGGTAATAACTGCCTCTCTCTGGGCCTCTGAGAAAAGGGTGGTTGCTTACTGAAGTCTGCACCATTCCTGGACAGAAGGGTGGCTGTTTCCAGCCCATCTGCTTGTCCTTTGTCCTAGACGGCTCTGCAGGTCCCTTCTAGAGCTGACGTCCTGAATGTATTTATGATTCCTCTGCTAACTTGCTGTGTGACTCTGCACAGTCGTTTCTCTTCTCTGGGCCTTAGACTTGTCCTTCCCGCTCTGGCTTCTCCCAAGATCTGCCATGTGGAGTACATGGACTCATGGATCTGAATGCACTTTCTTTTTTTGTTGTTGTTGTTTTCTTTTTTTGAGATGAAGTTTTGCTCTGTTGCCCAGGCTGGAGTGCAGTGGTGTGATCTCAGCTCACTGCAACCTCTGCCTCCTGGGTTCAAGAGAATCGCTTGAGGCAGTCCCAGTGCCTCAGCCTCCCAAGTAGCTGGGATTACAAGCACTCACCACCAAGCCCAGCTAATTTTTGTATTTTTTTTAGTAGAGACAGGCTTTTCCCATGTTGGCCAGGATGGTCTCAAACTCCTCACCTCAAGTGATCTGCCTGCCTTAGCCTCCCAAAGCACTGGGATTACAGGCGTGAACCACGGCGCCCAGCCTGAATGCACTTTCCAAAGGAGGAGAGAGCAGTACAAGGGAGGTTCTCATGGCCTGGAATCCCCTCACCCATTCACCTCCCCAACCACAGCAAGCCACTCACTCCGGATCTGCTTCTTGATCTCCTTGGAGGGGTCCAGCCAGTTCTGAAAGAAAAGACAGAGATCTTCAGAGGGAAGATGCAGGAAAGAACCTGACTGGGCTGGGAGAAATATCTTGAAATGGCCGGTCAGCAGCCCCTTGTGGGCAACGCCCTTCCTTGGCTAAGCCTCCTGGTCCCTTTTTCCTGGGTCTAAGGGGTGAGGGGAATGGGGCCAGGATTCACTACCAGGCTTGGACCCAGTGTCCCGGAGCTGCCACTGCCCTGAGGCAGTTCCAGTGAGCAGGTGATACAGCTGCAATGGGACTGGCAGGAAGGAGGAAATTCAGTCTCCCAAGGATGGGGGAGAGGCTCTGGCAGGGAGCTCCTAAGCTCCCCCAGCAACTCTAGCAGCCAGACCAGGGCTCTTCAAATTCCCACCTGGGGGTGACCTGTATGTCACCAAGAAATGGCTGAGACAGGGAACTGCAGGTAGATAGGGCTGGTTGAACCTTGGGGATATGCAAACAGAAGACGCTTAGTGATCTGAGCACTAATGGAAGCCATGGGGGGTGGCCAGGATTACAGGGGCCTAACGGAAGTGCAGGTCCCACCCTGCTCCCTAGTCCAGGTACCTTCTGACTGTCGGCATCACAGAAGGTCAGGCCGAAGTAGTCCTTCTCTAGGAGGTTGAGGTGTTCACAGACCAGGTCAAACAGCACCTGACCCCGGCCATGTTTCTGAGGAGGGAAGCAGAGCAGCTGTGAGGCTGAAGTATACCCCGGGGCAAGGCTGGGAGATACCCTAGGCTCCACCAGGACAACTCAAAAACCCCAAGGGCCTTTTGGCATCTGGACAGGAATGCAGCACTCCTGCCACCCACCTGGCTCTGCCCTCTGAGTCCTAAGGGGGTGACAACAATGGCCAGCTCCTTGATGGCCTTTTTCCAAGTTCTGGTGGGGGTTTCTGGACCTTGAGCTTGCTTGGGGAGAAGCTGAAGTGGAAGGCATAGGAAGTGACGGCTTTCTCCTTCCTTTTTAGTGATTAAGAGAAGGAGGCTAACTTAGACTGAAGGAGCAGAAAACCAAGTCCTAAGCTTTAGGTGTGAGAGGAAGAGAAGAAGCCCCTAGAATATAACAGAAGCGGGCAGGGGGAGAAGGGGAGGGCTTGGGACTCAGGGTCATAGTGTGACCCTCCCTTCCCTGAGTGAAATCCAGGGCAGCCCAGGCTAGCCCACCACTCCCTTCCCCACAGCCAGTGAGGTTTCACAGAGGCTCATGGGGCCTCCATCAGCTTCTGCTGGAAGAACCATTGTTAGGGCCGGATAGGTTCCTCCCACTCCTGTAGAGCTAGGCTTGGGCCTCTCTGAAACACCATTCAAAATGACGAAGCCAAGAACCTGACTGGGTGCACTCCAAACCCACAGGGGTAAAGATGAGCACCAATAAGGGGATCACAGGGCAGGGGAACAGAGGCAGTCACCACCCAAAGAAGCAGGGACTCTAGAGAGGGAGTGAGGCCCCTGTAAGGTCTGGTTGGGCCCTCAGGACCAAGCCTGACAAGGAATTCCTGAATCTGGAGATCATCAGAGAGAGAGGACCTGGCCTCAGTCAAACGCTTTATGCACTTCTAGGACAGGCAGAAATGGTATCTTGGGGACCATCACGGTAGGAGAGAGGACATAGAAGATAGCCCTTTCCTTTGTCCCAGGAACAGGGAAGGTGAAATCTTTCTATAGACAAAATACATACACAGTCAGGTGCAGTGGCTCATGCCTGTAATCCCAGCCTGGGCAACATGGTGAAACCCTGTCTCTATTAAAAATACAAAAATTAGCTGGGTGTGGTGGTGGGCACCTGTAATCCCAGCTATTCAGGAGGCTGAAGCAGGAGAACTGCTTGAATCTGGGAGGTGGAGGTCGCAGTGAGCCGAGATTGCATCACTGCACTCCAGCCTGGGCAACAGAGCAAGACTCTGTCTCAACAAAAAAAGAAAAAAAAGAAAAAAAAAAAGAAAAAAGAAAAAATACATACACATAAAAACAAAACAAAACCCTGTAGAGAAGAGGGACTCAGCCTCCCAGGACTCAGGAGTAAGTCACATCCCTAAAACCACGGCATGGGGGAGAAAAGGGGGCAGCTCCTATAAATCTTAGTAGCAAGGACACCCTCTGAGCTCTTTGACACATGCGGAGAAGGGCCAGGAATGCTGCCTAGGCAGGGGTAGAACCTCTAAGGGCTCACAGAGGGGGCAAGCGAGAGCTCAGAATTAGGGCAGGAGTCAGAACCTATACAGGAAAAGGAGACCTAAATGTGAGGCCAGGAGGGCCAACCCCAGAAGGAGGCATCTGCTGTGTCACCACCATGGGGCAAGGTTTCTACACGGCCTGGGTGACATCCTCCCAGTGAGCCGCCTCCCTGTGATGGGGTGATGGGCTTGCTATAGAACCCTCAGGTGACTAGTTTGTCCTGGAGACTTGAGATGGTACCCTGGACAGGGATATTCACTAGGAAAGGAGGAGCCCTCTCTCCACCCAGTATATAAAAATGATTTAATTTAAATGTCAGTCTCTCCTGGGTGAATAGGGGAGCCCAGTTCCCAGGTCTACTGTTTGTAGATCAGCCCTTACATGGTGGCATCCTTGCCAAGGTATAGTCACCCTGTAAAATCTTCCCGTGGTGCCAGCCCTGTATCTCGTCTAATTCTATTTGCAACCATAACCACTCTCTCCAGGCTTTGGTGCCACCATCTGTACAAAGGAGCTCCGAGCCAGGTCATCTCTCTGGATGCTGTGGCCGGTCCAGGACTCCTCTGGTTTGGCCCAGGCTGGGTACACACAGGAGCCTGCCCTGGACCTGAGGCTGGCCAACCGGGGACAGGACATATGGCACGCAGTGCTCCCCTACCTCCACCTCACACTCATACTCCGAGGCATCAAGCAGAGTGACCCGGCAGATGGCACTCTTGTATTTCTTGGCAATCTTCTGGGGTGATTTCTGGGCCTTGCTGGGCGTGGTCCTCTCCGACAGGCCATCGGCCTCACTGTAGTCCTTCTCCTCCATGTCTAGGCTCTGCAAGACCAAGCAAGGGAACAGTTTGCTCAGTGAGTTTTAAGCCATGGCCTTTCATATAAGGAAGAAGCAATATGGAGGCATCTGGGGCCAAGACAAACCCCAGAATGAGAGTCGCTGCCGTCTGAGACTCACAGGGCAACTAGGGTCTACGGCTGGTGTGTGCAGAAGGAGAGCCAGGGCTTCCATGCACAATGGGTGGCCTCGTGTGAGGGGTCCCCATCTTCCCTGCAGGCTACTGCTGCCATAGGCATCCTCTGAGGCAGGAGCATCCCATGAAACCAAAGCCAGTGGCCAGAGCTGCCCTGTCTCCCTAGAGCAGCGCGTGACTCAGCATAGCATCCATCTGGTCTCCTTCTTTTTGTCTGTCACTGGATCTAGCAGGAGTCTGGGAGCTGTGGACTGAGTTAAAGGAGAGGAGAAAGGCCAGAGACCCGCCCCCGCCCCGCCCCCTGCCCCGGGCCCTAACTCCACTGCTGATGCCCTCAGTGATCTTGGCCAAGTCCCTGCCACCTCCAGGCCTGTCGTGAATTAAGGAAGATGTTAATTAGATGATGAGGTGAATCTGTTGTAGCTTTAGGGGCTAGCCAAGCTAGAACATGGGGCTAGCCAAGCTAGAACAGACAGGTTCAGGGGTAGGAAAATAAATGGAAAGAACTCAGGCTTCAAAATCAGATCTAGATTTGACTTCACCTCTGTTACTTTATGGCAGTGTGACTTTGGATAACTCACTTTATCCTGCTGGTGCTCAGTTTCCCCAAGTGTAAAATGGGGGAGTTAGTAGCTACCCTCTTTAGTTTGAGAGAATAAAATTTAAAAATGACCACAATGGGCCAAGCATGGTGGCTCACACCTGTAATCCCAGCACTTTGGGAGGCCAAGGTGGGAGGATCACTTGAGCCCAGGAGTTCCAGACCAGCCTAGGCAGCATAGCAAGACCTCATCTCTACTGAAAGTTAAAAAAAAAAAAATATGGCTAGGCACAGTGGATCACACCTGTAATCCCAGCACTTTGGGAGGCCAAGGCAGGTGGATTACCTGAGCTCAGGAGTTTGAGACCAGCCTGGCCAATATGGTGAGACCCTGTCTCTACTAAAAATACAAAAATTAGCCAGGCATGGTGGTGCATGTCTGTAATCCCAGTTACTAAGGAGGCTGAGGCAGGAGAATTGCTTGAACCTGGGCAGCAGAGGTCGCAGTGAACCAAGAGTGCAGTGGCACCACTGCATTCCAGCCTGGGTGACAGGGCGAGACTCCAACTCAAAAAAAAAAAGAAAGTGAAAACAATTAGCTAGGTGTGGTGGTGCACACCTGTTGTCCCTGCTACTCAGGAGGTTGAGGCGGGAGGACTGCTTGAGCCCGGGAGATTGAGGCTGCACTCCAGCCTAGGCAACAGAGTGAGACCTGCCTCAAAAAGAAAAGAAAATAACTACAATGCTCCCAGCACAGTGCTTGGCATGTAACGGGTCACTAATAAATCTTAGTTTCCTTCTTTCCTCCCTCCTGAAAAAATACTGGGGCCCTAAGAACTGGACCTGGAGGACGGTCTGGGCAGGAAAGGGACGCCCATGCTCTCGTGCACACACCTGTTCAGCAGGCCGCGTGTCCTGCTGGGGTGGATGCTTCTCATTGGAGTTGGCCTCTGGGTGGCCGTGGCCTGCAGGGGTCACAGGAGTGGTCACAGCGGCGGCGGCCTCGGGCTGCTGCGGGGCCTCCTCCTGAGCTTTCTTCACCTCAGAGTCGGGGCCTGTCTCTGTTGTCATGGTGACCAGCACGCCTGCATTGGCATGAAGGAGATCATGTGACAGGGAGGGACAGCAATGGTGTGACAGCGAGAGGGGCAGGAACCACACGCGGAGAGAGACAGATGGAGGCAAACGGACAAAGAGTCACAGGGCAAAGGGAGGAGGGAGGGAGAGACAGAGGAAGTGGGGAGGAGGGAGGGTCATGGGAGGTGAGGGGTTAGTGGCCGAGGTCACAGGCACCCCTCCCACCCTGTGTCTGCAGCTCTTCAGGGACTCTAATCTCTGGGCCTTTCGTAGGGATGATGAGTCCTTCCAGGGAGCCCCGCTCTGCCAGGAGCACATGGGGCCACTGGTGACCGCCTCTAGGCAGGGCCCAAACTAGGCTGTCTCTCCAGCCACCTCACCCGGCACTTGGTAGCCCCTCAGCAAAGCTGGATTCACAGAATTTAACCAAAAGAGCCCTGGGTTCCAGACACTTCCAGTGCTGAAGCTGGACACACCTCTTCATGCCCCAAGCTTCAATAATTCCTGCCCTGCTAACTTCACAGAATAGATCCAGAAAGAGAATGACAGGAAGAAACTTAGGGGGGAAAAAAAAAAAACCGTGCAGCCTTGACGATGTAAAAGTCAAAAGAATAGGCTCATTCCCCAAGTCGGCCACAAATGTGGCAGTCACTTCACCTCTCTGGGACTCATCCAAAACATGAGCAACGTAGAGAAATGCTCTCTGGGATGAACGATTCTTGTCATTTTCCCCTTTCAGCAGTAAATGAGGAGATTTCAGAGAGTCAAGGACCCATTGCCCAGCTATTCTGCTGGAATAAGCAAGTTACAGAGAGAGAAAGAGAGAGAATGGCATGGTCTCATTTTTATATTTGAAAAACAAAACAGGCCAGGTGCAGTGGCTCATGTCTGTAATCCCAGCACTTTGGGAGGCCGGGGAGGGTGGATCACCTGAGGTCAGCAGTTCAAGACAACCTGGCCAACATGGTGAAACCTCGTCTCTACTAAAAATGCAAAAAGTAGCCTGGTGTGGTGGTGCACGTCTATAATCCCAGCTACTCAGGAGGCTGAAGCAGGAGAATCACTTGAACCTGGGAGGCAGAGGTTGCAGTGAGCTGAGATTGTACCACTGCACTCCAGCCTGGGCAACAGAGCGAGACTCCTTCTCCAACAAAAAAAAAAAAAAGAAAAAGAAAAAGAAAACAGTAACCTCAACAACATATGTTTGTGTTTGCATGCATTTAGTAAAAGCTATAAAAGGATACTCACCAAATTGTTAAGAGAGGTTGGTAAGGCAGAAGTGGGTAGAGGAAAATGAAAGAGATCCCTGGGAACAGGGTGACATAAGAGAGAAAACTTCACTTTTCACTTTATATGCTTTGGAACTACTTTTATCTTTTAAAATATACATACGTAGGCTGGGAGCAGTGGCTCATGCCTGTAATCCCAGCACTTTGGGAGGCCGAGGCTGGCGAATCACCTGAGGTCAGGAGTTCGAGACCAGCCTGGCCAACATGGTGAAACCTCATCTCTACTAAAAATACAAAAATTAGCTGGGTGTGGTGATGCATGCCTGTAATCCCAGCTACTTGGGAGGCTGAAGCAGGAGAATCGCTTGAACCCAGGAGGCAGAGGTTTCAGTGAGCCACTGCACTCCAGCCTGGGTGATAGAGCAAGACTCCATCGCAAAAATAATAAATAAATAAATAAAATATACGGATGTACTTTTTTAAACGTACGAGTTGGCTTTTTTAAAATATAGGGGAGGGAAGGGGCATCAGATGCAACCATTCCTGCCCCCAATCAACAGATCCTCAAAAAAAAGCTTTGAAGCTAAAATCAGGGAAATAGAGAAATGAGCAGGAACCCTCACCCCTGAGTCCAGGCCCTTCCTCTAAATCTATCATATTACATGAGAGTGATTCAAGCTAGACCTGGCAGGCCCTCTCCCCTGCACCATCCATCATGGGACGCCTCTGATAGACAGACAGACAGACACAGCATCAACCCTGGGCTAGCCACGTGCTCCAGGTCCCCTGCCCCACACTTCCTTTTCATTTTTCAGTTTTTCTCCCTGCATCTCAGTGAGCATCAGCCCAGCCCAAAGCCAAGAGCACTGGACAGAAAGCCAGGGACCCTGAGCACCCCACTTAGGCACAGGAGAGCTCTGGGACCCTGAACATCCTCAGTCCCCCACAGAGTGGATAACGGGGGAAAGGCTTTGTATGTGGAGGCGTGTAGTACAAATGAGAGGGTTTGTTGTTACTGATGCTACTATTAAGAAGGAAGATGAGGAGGAAGGGAAGGCCTGGGTCCCATCACCTCCTCCCCACACAGAAATGCTTTCCACTCAAGCATACTACTCTGTGCTTTATGGGTATAACTTAAAGCCACAGTTAAATAAAGGCTCTCTGTCACTTACAGGACAATGAGTGCTGACTCCAGGTCAGGATACAAAGCAATGAGAGCTGCTTTAGGGGAGCCCACAGCCTTGGAAGGGTCCACATGATACCTGTGCGCCAGGCTCAGGATCTTTTCTGAGCCTGCACTTAAGGATACTGGTCATAATGCCAGATAAGGCCTATAGGCAAGAACTCTTAAAATAACTGCCTGCTTAATTTTGCTTAAAAAGAAAAAAAGAAAAAAAAAAAAAGCATCCACAGACTCATCTGTGTGTTTTCTGCTGTGAGATGCAGAATCCACACGACCCCTCGTGGGCCCAGGCAGTGGAAGAGACACTTCCACTCTTCCCTCTCCAATGGCCTCAATCTGATTTCAGTTCATACTCCCGGAACTTTTCCTGGGTCTGAGGTTTCTTGAAATAGCCAGGAAAGCAACCTTAAATAAATATCCCAGTCTTCCTCTGGCTGAGTCTCCAGCAGAGCCCGCTGGCAGCAAATGCCCGGCGCTCCCAGAACCACAGAAGAGAGGAGCTGGATGCCTTTTGAGATAATTTTTGAGATAATTCAATCTACTCCTCTTCCTTTACAGGTGAGACCCAGTGAGCAAAAAGGACGACTGACAGTCATTTCCTCAGAAACCAGATTTCCCTGGTTCCTCCGCCCACTCTCCTCCCTCCCCAGCCTCCAGACTCCCCAGATCCTAACTCTAGGTCTGCCTTCTCTCCACTGTACTTGGCTGCCTCAAGCAAACCTCAACAGAACCCCGCAAAGGAGAAAGCACTCAGGCTCAGGCTGAACACCAAGGACGTGGCAGGAGCCACCTCTGCATTCCATGGCCAGGAGCTACTGAGAGAAATGATGGCTCATTCACTCTAGAGAGTTAAAGAAAAAAATGTAAAAAATCATGGAAAAGATTTGAGTATAAAAGCATGATACACAACAGTTTGTACAGATTAACTCTATGTTAATGAATACACATGCACAGATATGGAAAATTCAGCAAAGTATTAACTATAATTATTTCTGGATGGCAGGAAGACAGATTATTTTTTCTTCTGTTTAACTGTAGTTTTTGGTTTTGCTACTATACTTGGAGATTCCTTGAATGAGTTTAAGTTAGAGGTCAAAAAAGAAATTTTTCTGATGCACATGGCTTGGTATGGCAGTATGAGAAGGAGATAAAATCTGTTTAAATCTTTTAAAAATTTATAAATCAAAAATAACATCTTTTAAAAAAATATATGATGAAATATTTATTTCACATATCCAAGGATAAGAGCATGGTTCTCTCACTAGGCCACAGAAAGGGAGCCGAGGGCCTGGCCCTGGCTTCTGATATAGCCTGCCACGTAGGCATGGTTCCGCCCAGGCCCAGGTGAGCACAGACTGATGGAGCTTGCTGTGCGGCCAGGCCGGGCCAGGCACCGCAGTGACCCCTGGAGGGAAGCACGTGCTGGTTCCCGAAGAGCTGGCTGCAACGTGGGAGGAGGATGCTCACCCAGGAAATTGCTAAACACTTAGGCAGGAGGTGATTTAGATTTGCCATTTATGTTTCAGCCTCTCAGCAGAGTCTGGGGACCTGGTGATCTGGACTGTAGCCTGGAGTTCCCAAAGGAAGCTTCTAGGGTGGGTGGGGGGTGAAGGTGAAATTAGGTGTTGAAAAAAGGGAGCCATTTATTTATTTATTTTATTTTTTGAGACGGAGTCTGGCTCTGTTACCCAGGCTGGAGTGCAGTGGCCGGATCTCAGCTCACTGCAAGCTCTGCCTCCCGGGTTTATGCCATTCTCCTGCCTCAGCCTCCCGAGTAGCTGGGACTTCAGGCGCCCGCCACCTCGCCCAGCTAGTTTTTTGTATTTTTAGTAGAGACGGGGTTTCACCATGTTAGCCAGGATGGTCTCGATCTCCTGACCTTGTGATCCGCCCGTCTCGGCCTCCCAAAGTGCTGGGATTACAGGCTTGAGCCACCTTAGACAGAAGATGCAGAGAGAGCATTTGAGCTGAGTCACCATGTGGGCAAATGTCCAGAGATGGGAAGAAGGGGGATGGCAGGGGATGGAGAGGAGACCTTGACGTTCTGGCACTTCAGAGTGAGAAGCCTATAAAGGTGAGCACCAAACAGCCTGGAGGGAGGGACTGGTTGGAGCTTGGGAGGAGCGATGGGGCCGGGAGGGTGCAGGCAGCCTTGCAAGAGTCAGAAGCATCTCCGTGCAGAAGGACAGGGCTCCCATCACTAAGCGCTGCTGCCAGCCAGGCCCAGGGCTAGAGACTTCATACGGTCATTCATGGACCTCTTGAAGGGAGGTAGAGCAGGTGGCCCTGTGGCTCAGTGGTTCACAGCACAGGCTTTGGAGTCAGGCACACCCAGATCCAAAGCCTAGTGCCAATGCCTGCTCACTCTGTGACCTCGGACAAGTGACTTCACTTTTCTGAGCCTGAGTTGCCACTGTTTTTTTTGTTTTGTTTTTTTGAGACAGAGTCTTGCTCTGTCACCCAGGCTAGAGTGTGGCGATCTCAGCTCACTGCAACCTGCGCCTCCCTGGGTTCAAGTGATTTCGCCTGCCTCAGCCTCCCTAGTAACTGGGATTACAGGTGCCCACAGCCGGCTAATTTTTGTATTTTTAGTAGA